TCTTGATATCTATGTTTATCTTTAAATTTCATATTAATACGCCTGATTTATTTTTCCTAGTTTTTGTATATAAGATAGTACCTCCTTTTATTTAGCACATTTAACTTTTGTTTTCTAAATTTTCTAAAAAGAAAAATCATTTAAATGTCCCCCAGTTTCTAGGTTGTTTATACAGGTAATGTGTTAATCAATAAAGCTGTTTTTTATGACATATAAGGAATGTAATTTAAACAGGACAATATTCTGTATGTAAACCATGACCTATATATCTGCATATTGTAAATATAACATCCAGTACAAAGATCATTTCTTTGTCATTTTCCGGCACGCAGATTTTTTTTTTCACATTCAGCAGTATAGCCAGAATATTAATCAGAGGCCGCAGTGAGAAGCATGGATTGTGTATATAATTACACAGAATAAATAGTTATCACAGTATTACAAGTATTGACATTAATATCCAAATTATTAGGCTGATTTGTATTGTTAGACTTTGGCAGCTAAACAATGTTTATTAGATGTTAATATAGCAATACAGAATGTAGTTTGCAAATACAAGTCACACCTAGAAAACACACAAAATCATAAATGTAAATACTAAGGACCAGAGAAGTATTATACGTCTCTGAAAGGACCTAGTTGATTTGGACACCTAAATGATCCCCGTACCACTGCTAAAAAATGAAACTATGCATTTGAAACTGATTTTTCCGGCATGACTATAGCGATAAATCATTTTTGAAAAGAAAAGTACAACTTGCAAGACTTTTATGAAAACAAAATGGAGATGAAATAAACAAAATATAATCCAGAAGGGTGTTCTGGGTGTAAATATTCTGACGGGCCAGGCCGGAATTTGAACCCTGGACTTCAGATTGCTATATCATTGCTGAAACTGATTTAGCTATCTGGACAACGGAAGTGTTCGAGCCCAAATTCAAAGGAAGTTAAGGAGAGGTTACTGTATATAGGAAAAATGACAGTGCAGTGGGATAGTACCATAATCAACAGCCAATTAAGCTAAATTGACATGAAAATATCAATCAGTAAAAATATTTTCGAACTGCATGCTCGTTTCTTGGGCCCTGGTAAACTGACGTTACATCTCCCTTCCTATTAGTGTATTATTCATACAAACTGTTCAATTACCTGTGAAATAATGCTATGATTTTGACAATAACATGGTTAAACTACGGTAATCTATTTAAATGGTCTAGGCATTGTTTAATTAATTTGGTCCTATTATTATAAGTTTATGGACTATATATGATTGTGACATAACAGTACCATTATCTATATACAGTGTCAATGAAAGGGGCACCCAATTGGGGACATCATCATAAAAATAAGACCAGAGTTCTATTTTGACAGACTGTATTGATACTTGTGGGAGTGATGCATAGGGGATATACAATCCTTAACTACACTGTACATGTATGGCCAACTTTTGGTGCTTTGAATTTTCTTGAATGTTGGCCAAAAACCTGAACACTGATTTATGATAAGGATATTGACAGGTGATATCGAGTTGCGAAGGTTTTTTGTTAAATTTGATAGGGTGTGGCTCTTTTACATTGATTTCAAGTTTTAACTACGTGTATGATGATCTAGCGAACTTAAAGTTTTCATGTTTTGAGATTAAACTAAAACCCAACATTTGGATTTTCAACATCACGACAGATTTTCTTATCTTTTATTGACGTCAGCGTGATTTTCATAATTTATATACATTGACATTGAGCTGCACCTGTTTATATACATTGACATCGAGCTGCGCTTGTTTAAAATACATTCCCTGTTTTCAGCAACATGATTAGTAATGAGACTTTATAAAAACCTACATGTTACTGTGTTTTGAAAGTTCGCCTTTCTTGGCGAAACAGATTTGTTCACCAGGTTCTGTCCTTATTTTAGGCTTCACAAAAAAATCCCACTAATTTTTTTTTATCACAAATATTTTTCTCATGATATTTCAGTTACTTAATGTTTTATTTCATGGATTTAAAAGAATCATTTGTAGACATAAATCATTTTTTCTTTTTTTTGAAATTTAGAATTTCGATTTTCCTTAAGCTTTCACGAAATTGAATTGATGACTCATTTAAAGCTTGGAACGCTAAGTTTATTGGTCAATTGACAGCTCATTACAACAGTATATAGGATGAAAATGACGAAAGTCAAACTGCAACCAAGAAATTTGCGCGGATATAGTATATTGACATGACACATTAGACAATTAAGTGCTCATCAGTGTGAATTATTTCATAATCACACGGTCTGGTAACAACAGGGCCTGATGTTGAATTAATTATTATAACCATTTTAGCTGTGCATATTTTAAATAGGTAAAATATTAATAATTATTCCCTGATAGACTCAAATTGTAGCTATACATGTGGGTATGCGTACAATGTCATTGTGAGAAGTATTTCAATGAAGTTTGTAATTCCGTCAGAGTAGGCGGGCGAGTAAGTGGGCGATTTGTCAAGACAGTGTGAGGATTTATCTGATGTGACCACAGGTACTACCTATACACTGGTGTTTGTGTGTTGTATGCACTTAGCGGGGGTGGACAGATATTTCGGTTGACATATCTTAAGTCAGCAAATTACAAATATTTAATCTTGTGAAGTTTGAAGTCCGTGTTTGGTAGCTAGTGCAGTAGTACTATTGTAGTTTGAAACTGAAATGGACACGCCTCAAAATGTAACGTAAAATGGAATAAACCAACGGATAATCGTCCCCCATTAACATACAGGAAGCTACTATATAAAGTTGAAAGCCAGACTTGATAGTAAGTCATGGACCGCTGAGGTAGACACTAATACGTGCTTGTGGAATGCTACAGAACTCCCTTTCTCAACTAGAAACTAGACACACCCACATATGTATTCTGCATCTTTAATACACAAGGTGAAAAACAAGCATTTTTCTTTTTCTGTTTTTATGCAAATTGCGATATAGATGAAGGAACATGAGTTCAGTTCCTAACGGGAGCTCTTGAGATTGTAAGTGATCAACTTAAAAATAAAAATATTTGAAAGGAAACACTGTGGAGATTTGTGTAGCGTACAGTATGCTAGAAGAAGACACACCTAGAAATCTTTTTTTACATGTTTCTCTCCTTTGTTAAATCTATTTTCATCAGTACCCGAGAGGAACAGTAAAAACTCAGTTTTAAACTTGGTAAGCTAATTATACAATTAACAGTAAATTATTTTTCATCAGAGATATTTAAAAAAAAATAAGTGAAATTCTAAATCCTAGAATAAACAGAGCTGTCAAATTTATAGCAATTTTAAGAATGCCGAGTAATCATTGAGCCCAGCTTTTCAAGCAATGATTAGCTTAATCAGGCCATACCATCCTCCCACATGGCTGACCATGACTCATAATCAGCCAGATACATTAACTGTCAGATACGTTACCTGTCGAACAAACAGGTCTGTTACCTGTAAAATCATTCAATGGAAACTGAGCAATTATATCATCAACCTTACAAATATTTCAGTTATATATAAGGTTATTTTTCCGGATTTATTAAAATTTAGTGTTTCAGTTTTCAAATTTTTGTCTTGTCAGAAAATTCATTGCTTGTCAGAATTTTTATGGGAAATACTATGGTATGGGAACGTCCTTCTGTCCATACCTTTATCTGCACTTCAGTTTCCTGAAGATAAGATGCTTAAATACCGTCAAATGACAGTGTTTTGAGCAGTTTGCAGTTTGGTACTAAAAAAATAGTGAAACAGGGACATAACATATTGGTCAAAGTTACCTGTGTAATCTGACACCCTGTGGGACACAACACATTTTTCAGATTAACCTGTCTAATCTGATACCATTCAGGACACAACCCATTGCTCAGATTAACCTGTTTAATCTGACAGCATTTCAGACAACACATTTTTCAGATTAACCTGTCTAATCTGACACCATTTTTAGGACACAACCTATTGCTCAGATTAACCTGTTTAATCTGACAGCATTTCGTCACAACATATTTTTCATATTATCCTGTCTTATCTGACACCATGCAGGACTCAACCTTTTGCTCAGATTAACCTGTCTTATCTGACATCCTGTAAGACACAACATATTGGTCAGATAAACCTGTCTAAACTGATATTCTGTTTCACACATTGCAATTGTCAGAATAGACAGGGTTTCATAATAAACAGGTGTAGCATTATGTTGGATCAGACAGAATATCAGTATACTCATGAGATCAGACTGGACAGGTTTCAGGTGTTTACTGATCCCACTGTTATTTAAATTAATGCCATTTTCTGATTTTATACGCCCGCCAAATTTGACAGGAGTATTATGTTATGACGTTGTCCGTCCGTCCATCTGTTCGGCGTAAACTTTTGTTTGTCCGGCAATCTCCTCCTACATTTTTCGACCGATCTCTTTGAAACTTAGTATACATTATAATCATGATATGAAGTTGTCTCCCTTAAAAGAATTTTGATTAGACAATTTTTCCAAACATTATTGCCCTTTAAATTTGTTCATTTTAGTATTTGATTTTTTGTCCGGAGATCTCCTCCTACATTTTTTGACAGATTTCTTTGAAACTTAGTAGGCTAAATAATCATGATATGTTGTTGTGTTTCCTTGAAAAGAGTGTTGATTGGACAATTTTTGCAAAAAATTATTGCCCTTTGTTCATTTCATTATTTGATTTTTTTATCTGGAGATTTTCTCCTACATTTTTATAGCATGTCGGCTAACCACTCTTTGAATGATGCAGATCTTATTTCAATGTAAGAAAGTATATAACACTATATGGCATTCGACGGGGGTATATTGTTCAGCCCTGCGGTACTCTTGTCTTTCTAGGAGTCCATACAGGTTGTGGTGGTCTTTAAGTAAAGGACTTATCCAGACAATTTCTTTTGATCACAAAAGAGATAAACATTTTTTTGCCAGTGATAATTTCATCATACTTAAAAAGAAATTCAAAGTAATGTTTTTTCTTGTTTTCTTTTTTGCAGAAACGTCACAAACAATGGCCGTTGTGGTTACCAAGGCGACAGTACAGTGAAGGGTTTGCTCATTATCTGAAATTGAATACAAAAGTTTTTGGAAAGATCTTCAAATGGCTTGCAGGTAAGATTGATTTCTAATCATTTGCATGACGCAAGACTTATTTGAATTATACATGATTATAACTTCAGGAATTCCGATTTTCATGATGATTTCCTAATCGTTATTGTGTAACTAATAAGTTATTTTACTTAAAAAGGTTTTTTTTCCATTTGATGGGATGTTGATTTAAATTGTTAGAAAACGCTTCAAAGTTAAATATGTTACAGAAATAACCAAGTGATTGATTCATTCGTGGATTGGTAAGTGAAATCTGCTGTGTAGATTGTCATCAATTTAATTGAATCACAGGAGGCGGGAAATTAATTTAACAAAAAAGTAAATATAAGGTTCTGATTTCCTCAATATGTATGTACATGTATGCATATTATTCTGGCACTATAATTTTCATTTTTCATGTGCTGTTCATGCTAGGATAATAACCATATGATACAGCATGTTTTCGAAATTAAAAGGAATCCAGATTTACTTCGACAGAAAAAAGTGATGTTGAAGTGACACCAAAAAACCCCTACCAAGGCTTAAAATAGAGTAATCAAGATATAGGTATGTCCTCCATTCCCCACAGGTAGCTTTAAGAAGAATTAGAAGGATGATACAAATGGCCACTAAATTTCACCTTTTTTTTTACTACAGGTGATGTATACATACCAGCATTATGGCAGAGTCCTCCGGTTGCGAACGGTCAAAAGTTCCCGGTGGTGGTGTTCAGCCACGGCATCGGTGGCAACCGAACAACCAACACCACCATGTGTACGGAGCTGGCCTCACAAGGGTTTATTGTGGCAGCAATGGAGCACAGGTAGGTCAAGGTCACAGGATAATTGTAATGGGGTTAAATCAAAATGTTCTGGAAAGGTTGAAGGTCATTCATAAAAGGTACATCATGGAATGTATGCATAATTTACAGGTCGTAGGGTAAAAGTCTTAATGTAAAGGTCATAGGGTAAAAGTCATCATTTAAAGGTTAAAAAGAAAAAGTTTCATCAAAGGTGAAGACGAAGGTTAAATGTAATAAAATGATACAAACACATTTAACACCAACTTAACATAAATATCTATGAAAATCTGAAATGTTACTAAAATCTGTATGCCAAGATAATGATTTCAATTTAAAAAAAAAATATGTCTACTTCATGCGCCAAAAGACTTAACTGATCTATTAATTCAGAATTGCATCTATTTAAACTAAATTTCCTTTTCTCAGAGATGGGTCAGCATCCATGACATATGAACTAAAGCCAAACGAGAAAGGAAATGTGGAGATTGTAGAAGAAGCGGAAAAACCTCAGCAGAAGAGAAACCTGCACAAACGCAGCCACAGTTTCCATGGTTACAATGCAACAGATGCAGAATGGAAACCCTATGTACACTATGAACCCTGGAATGAATTTGAGTACAGAAATAACCAAGTGAGAAAACACTTTAAAGACAATGATCACACATGAACACTTTAATTTAGAATTGTCAACAATTTTATTATCAGATGAAGAGCTACGATGATCTTGGAATATTTGAATTGGATAGTAATTGACCCTATATATCCCACTTTATGATTGTATGAGGTGACTGATGTGTGCACCCAGCAAAATCTGGGTTCATATTCTTATGTGTTCTCATTGTACGGTCTGTTTCATCAATGACAAGTCTTTAAGTTCTTTGTCTGAACTTGTTCTACCCTGAACTTTATATTAGTTTCCATTATAATTCCTGTTAACACCCATTAACCCACAAATTCACATTTGATTCTTACCAAATCAAAGACTGAACAAGTCCAGTGTAATATTGTTACCAGGTAATCAGGTTTATTGTCAGTAGAGTCTTTTTTATGTTAAAAGAGTCACTCCACAAGTGTGTAGTTGCTCAAAAAAGACAACCAAACCCCCATTTTATCCCAGGAAATTATATATTTGTTCATAAAAAATCTTGGTTGAGTGGTAATTTTGGGAGTTCCTTCAGACTCCATGGAATAGGGGATGAAGTTCTCCTAGTACATGTGTGGCACCACCATTCAGAAATCCTCAATCTGACACTGCAAATTTGTATAAACCCTTTCACCCCTATGTTTCTTTAGTGGACTCAATCGTGCATTGATCTCGACAAGTCCATTATGGTCGACAGTGGTGGATGGGTTAATTAACGCCAATAAATCATTTGAAAAAATAATTAATTTCAGATTGAAATAAGAAGTACATGTATCAGTAAACTGAATTAAAATTTTAACCATTTTCAATTTTATCTTTGAAGGTCAAGAAGAGGTCACGAGAGTGCTCGGAAGCTTTGGACATTTTAACATCACTTAACCTTGGGGTCGAAGTTCACAATACCCTCGGGGGCAACTTCAACAGCAAATTGTTCAAGGTCAGCTATAAGCAATCAAAAGGACAAGTTATTTTGAAAATGAGCAAAGTTGTTTTCAAAATCATGACAAAAACGCTGAAGAGTTTAATGCAATAATATAATGGTCAGGAACCTGGCCCCAGATGGCTTTCAGGTTTAAAGTTTCCGTTATCATTTGTATTAGTTAAAAAAAAATAAAAAAAAAATAAAAAATAGATGAATAATTTGTTTCAAAGCTGCCCTTAATGAGTACTTCTATCAGTGAAGCCATTAAATGTTTATTTCGAGTTGTCATTAAATGTTTATTTCGAGTTGTCACAGTAAAGATCAACATGTTACTTTAACACATTTGATTCTTTGAGGGCTTCAGATTTCATTATTCTAGTACACCTTTTAAATAATATAGATTAAATATTAACCTCCATGACTGCATGATCTAAGGGACATAACCCCCAAAAAAATGTTTGAATGACAAATGATTAATTCTTTGCATTGGAAGCTGATTTGGATTAAATTAAATTTATTGATTTTGGAAATAATTACAATGATGACAGCTTGGAAATCTTTTCATAAAATGTAGAAATATGAAGTGTTAATATTTATTATTTTCAAATTTTAACAGGACCGTATGGATTTATCAAAAGTGATAATGATCGGCCATTCCTTTGGTGGCTCCACCTGTCTACATACACTGGCACATGACAAAAGATTTCTGTGAGTACCACAGCTTTTTATTTGTTAGAATGCTTTTATCTATGGTGCCAATCACTGGGGCTTGACACAAAATTTAGAAACTGAACTGAACTGTTGAACTGTATGACCTAATTGATAATTTCAAGCAATCCCATTGGCCAGATCCTAACAGTCCTCCAAAACTCATGTAAACCTGTCTTCTGGTAAATATGGATTTCTAAAAATAGCCTGTAGGAGAACCTTCCATACTCCTTCAACTAATAACAGTTTATTTGATAAATATTTAGCGAAACTGGACTGGGTTGATCGTTGGCGACCAGATAGCTCATTTGGTAGAACATCCGTCTTGAGTTCAGAGGGTCCAGGGTTCGAACCCCACACTGGCCATTGCATTTCTTTTTCTCCTGTTACAAATAAATATTTGAAAGGCTTTTATTAAATGTTTGCTTATCCTGTATTACAATGGAAAGCATGATTACAGTTATCGTGCTTAGCCAAGCTGTCCAGTCAGTAACCTGTATTGTAAAAGGCAGGATTCCTAGCATCCATACAGTTCAATTAACAATCAGAAGGTTTTTTTCTTAGGTTTATTTACAGAGCATATAATAAAACATAAATGTATGTTTAGAAATATAATAAACCAGTTTGGACTTCAGTGGCAGTGAATATGACGTGATACAAACCTGAAATATTATATTTTTTGGGGTTCATGTAACATATTCATTGTCTAAAAGTCCTAAATTTATTAATATTGTTTATTAATTATCTCCCTTGTTTATGTATTTTTTCCCCAGTATTGGTGCGGTGCTGGACGGTTGGATGCACCCTCTAGGGAAGGAAGTGTATACAAGTATTACACAGCCAACTCTATTACTCAACATGGAGAAGTTCCAGTGGAAAGAAAACATTGAACAAATGCTCATGATCCAGAATAACCAGGCAGAAAAAGTCATGATCACTATGAGGTAAGAAGACATATACCTGTTGGGTATTTCTTAGTAATGATGTTTGAAAACAGATTATGTCACACATCTAATAATTTTGTTGATGATTTAAATTGCTAACAAAATACACTAACTTGTTGTTGCCCAGTATGCTGTAATAACGCCAATTCATTTGACTACATGACACTTTATATACCGGATATCCCGTCTCTGTGTTAAAACACCATGACAATTTAGTTCCTTCAAATGTCTAGATCACGAAATAAAAACCCATGTAAATTTAGATTTCTAATTTTGTGTCAAAATCTCGAAAATTTAAGCCCTATTAAATGACCTGTTATACAGTATCAAGAAATTTCATTTTTTTTAAATTTTGTTAACATTATATTGTATGTTTTCTGTTTGTTTACAGAGGTGCCTGCCATCAGAGTGTAACAGATTTCCAGTTCATCGTAGGGAAGCGACTGGCTCGGTTCATGGACTGTCGACACATCATACATCCACGTGTCTCGATGGATCTTTGCAACAAGGCGGTTCTCAGCTTTGTGTGGAAACATTTAGGTAAGTCAAATATTGTATTTAAAAAAAACTTTCATCCGTGACTAGTAAATATTACTGCAAGATATCAACAAATTCAGAGTGAGAAAAATGTCAAAAATTATCCAGATAACAAATCTGTTCTGGGACCATGCCACCATGGTCAGCCCATCCTCATTATTCCAGGGGTTACGCTCATTTTTGCTTTCTGCAACCCAGAAATATGTCATAGAGAAATTGAAGGCTCAGTGTGTGCCGTCTTGAGGATGAGACAAGAAGATTAGTTTGATCTTTTGGTGTACATCAAAATAATCTGGCGGTCGTGTAACCGTGAAATTGACAAGCTTTGAAGTCGGGTGTCGCTCATCTGTAATCTTTAAAGTGCAGGTATCAGCCTGGCGATTGGTCAGGATTTTTAACCCGAGACAAATCAAATAGCTAGCCATGTGCCTTCAAATTGGCTATGACATATTCCAGGAGTGCAGAGAGCAAAAGTGAGCGAAATTCCTGGGGTATCGAGGATGTGGTCAGCCATGTTGTGTACAGTGTTTCTGAAGTTTTAAAACCTTAGATTGTCTTTTCATGGTTTTTGGCCCACCTGCCTAATGCTCACCATTGCAGGTGACCTATTAAGGCCCCTTCTTGATTATTTTCTGATTTCTTGTTCGTGGTATATGAAGAAAAATGCTTTGATGATTTCTTTTCTGTTTAAAGAGTATTTTTTTTAACGTCAAGCATCCAGTAAAACAAAACTGAGTCTTTCCATTTCTTTTTCAGGCTCTGAAGATCGAGAAATCCATGAAGATATTTTGTCTGGTGATCACTCCTTAATGATGAAGGGTACCAACGTCAACATGTCATGTTAATCAGCCAATCACAGCTGTGTTTGTCTCGTGAGGATATCAGCCAATCACAGCTGTGTTTGTCTAGTTGTCATGACAGCAATGGATTATTTATTTATTACAAGCATTTTGTGATATTATATATTATCAGACTCAAGTTGATAAAATAGACAAGTGTTAATGTATAATTTTATTTCTTCACAATTCCAATTGGCACAATTCTTAGAATTCACCTGGTTCAGTGACATGCTTGACACTTCAGCACCCTCTGGATATAGTGAAACATTTCGCAGTCAAACATGCAAATTTTATCTATAGAACACTTTTGATTTATGAAACAAGAGTAGCACTGATTTACACCAGGTATGGTGTGTCCATATATTCTATGTTGAAAATCCGTGTTTGCTACAAACTTATCCTGGAACATCATAAGTTTACACAAAAAGTCAATTTTTGCATCAGGACAAAGCTTCAAACAGAAACGTCAAGACTGAGTGGAGAGGGAATGATGTTTGTGTGTTTAGTTTTATATCTGGGAACAAGTCCAGCTTCCTGGACTAAGGAACCGGTGGAGTAACCATACTTGTGCCCTTTTCTAACGTCTACATCCAGATCACTTAATTTGGTTCTTTTATCTTTGAGATTGTTGGTGAAGTATTAAACTGAGTACCTTGGTTTATAACACTTAGTTATCCCAGGAAATTAATAAAAATTGTATTTGAAAAAGAACCAACTTTCATCTGTGACTAGGACCAATCACAAATATCAATAGATTAATAAAGTGTTAGGAAAATAGCATTTTGACCAGTTTAGATTTTGATGGTAGTCTCACATACTGAATTATTTTATATTCATTTTAGATCAAATTGTTTTTGGTTTTTCCCTGGATGGCTTTTCACTTCCATTAAGGTTAAACAATATTAGAATCATGTTCACAATCTCAAAAATCAAGAAACCTCTTTCTGAAATGTTATGTAACATAAAGTCCGCCTGGGCCTAGATATTATCTAAACTATACTCAGATGGACAGCATTGACCAATCCAAACATGACATTGATGACCATGGAGGTTTGTTATCCTGGTTACCAGTTGTGTCAAAGAAGGTTTGTTACCAGTTGTGAGTATGAAGGTTTGTTACCATGGTTACCAGTTGTGACCTTGAATGTTTGTTACCATAGTTACCAGTATGACCATGAAGGTTGCTACCATGGTCACCAGATGTGACCATGAAAACTTTGTTACCATGATATGGTTCATTGTAATCTTGAATGTTTGCTACCATGGTTACCAATTGTAACCATGAATGTGTGTTACCATGGTTACAGGTTGTCCCTGCAGTTCACTGTAGTGACACTCAACCCGTTAATGTCTTTCACTGTTAATCTTACTGTTAACTGCAACTTATGTTGCAGATTATTGTTCAAAACATAGTTTTGCTTTTTTGTAAATCGAATTGTTAGGTTATTGTTTGCTGATCATCATTTTATGTGAGTAGTTTTTTATTCAACTGACATTGGAAAGTTAAAAAACCAAAGTATTTCTGTTGAATGTAAACAGTATAATAGGTTTATGCTTGATCTTTGTAATGACATGTATTGCATAGAAAAATAAGTTCAAGTTGACATTGTGGAACGGATATTTTGTAAATGTGGCAACTTGTATACAAAATGCATTTATATATATTATGTATATTTATGTATGTCACCCTGCACATGATTCCTGGTATCGGTGGATCTACAAGAGGCATTTAGAATATCTAATTCTGCATTGTTAAAGCATTACATAATTTTAAAGTGTTGAGTGATATCATGATCTGATCAGTGAAACATGCGTCATTAATTATGTATGTAATTAGCTTGTTTATGGCAAGATACAATCAATCCGTTGTATGTGCTTAATTTATAGTTTTCTTATCTCTTTTATGCTTCAAATACAAATGTGTTTTACTGCAGTTTATATATTATACACTTATTTCTATAAGAAGCGTATATATACATAAGTACATGATGAGGACTGCCAGGGTTAGTGAGGCCTGTAGGTTTCCTCAAAGTGTCAAATTTGATCTCAAAAATAAGATGCAGAATTTTTGAAATTATTCTAAAATGTTGGTGAAACAGATCTAAATGAAGCATTCTTACACTAACTGCATTTATTTTTATTTTTGTGTGCACAAATTTTCGAGCATTATCGTTTTAACAGATTAGCACATTGGTGAATTGGTGCACATCTCATACTCGCCAACTTTTTAAAATTTCCATGGGGGAGATTCTGCATGCACAAAATTAAAATTCACTGATTGAAAACACCCAGTTGAAGGGTCCAAAATCGGGAGTCCCCCTCCTGAATAGGGAGGGTTGGCAAGTATGCATCTGTTCACATGATATCCAAATACATTAGAAATTATTTTTATTTTAATATTTAAAAATTTAAGAAAATAAGAGTGTTATTTTAATAATTTCTCACAATTGTTTCCCAATAAGAGTTAAAGTACGATGTCTAGATCTTTATTATAGCTATTCATCTCGATCATATCCTTTTTTTTTTAAAGGAAAAAAAAATGACAACACATTACCCAATAAACAGGACAATGAAATGAATGAAATAATTAATATCTCTGTACTTTTGATTATTATAACTAATATCTTTACACTTTATCAATGCAAATATTTGTCTCAGTCGCTACACTTGATTACCACTTAATTGTTCATTGTTTCACCAAGATCTTCTGTTCCATGACTCATTCTAATATTTGTATGGTGACTTTTTCTTCTGTATCTCTTAATCATATATATATATATATATATATAAAATTATACAAAAAATGTCTGTTTCTCCAGGGATTCAATATAATATTTTTCTTTGTCCTTCTGCACACATCCTTTTTAAACAGCCGAGGACTTTTAGTACCCTGTTAGTATTTCTGCATCAGAAACAAGTTTATGATAAACTTAAACACAAGTTCTACTCAAACTGTCAGGAGTAAACCTAAGCTTTATTTTCACTTTATACATTTATTACATTCTGTCTAGAATATTTTTATTATCCACGATCTGAGTTTTTTCAGTTTATATGAGAAATGCTTATAGTTTTTGTGTAACATTATTATTTACATGTTAACTGTCCCTTCTCTGGTGCTTTTAAAGATTGCTGAATTCCTTAATCCATCACAGTCAAGATTAATACAACAAAAGGTCTTTTGTCTGTAAATTGGTTCATTTGAAAAATGACAAGTATTGGTGGAAAAGTTCCACTACCACTAGCCTTCCACCACTGGGTCGCGGGTTCGAGACCTACGTGGGGTAGTTGCTAGGTACTGGCCATAGATCGGTGGTCTTACTCCGGGAACGCCAGCTTTCCTCCACCACCAAAACATGGCACGTCCTTAAATGACCCGAGCTGTAAATAGGACGTAAAAGACGAACAAACCAAACACTGAATGTCTGCACAGACCACTGTATGTGTCCATATTCATGAAATCATTCTCATGCTTTAACATGAATTCTGTGCTTAAACCAACTAATTCTCACTTGCCGGAAAGCATGCAGCATGGACACACTGTTTGGCTTCAACTCTCTTCAAACTTCCTCCAAATCATTGTAAAATGGGAATTTTGAATAATTTATCAGAAAGCAAGGAATTGGGCTCGAGCCCCGATTCTGAGTTTGAGTATGAGAACACGAGTGATTCTGCTTCTCTGTAGTACACAAAACTCATAAAGTGTGATAACACAGCAAGAATATTTTGTCGAAATTTTTATAAAATTTACAAAAATAATGTTTGAGCAATTATAATAGAAATAATAGCATCTATTTGTGGGAATTCTTTGCTACTCCTAGGTATTAGAATTAGATTATAACAGAACCTATAGTGTGAGGTTAAGATCAGGGTCAGGGGTCAAAGGTCACAGGGGATGATTCTTACGGTTTCGGGACAAGTCCTTTGTTTGCTTTGATAAATTTCTATATGAATATGGTGCCTTGAATTTAATTTGTAATATGACATTTTATATTTGCATATACTATCTTATTTAAATCAAAGTATATTTATACAAGAGAACATGCCTTCTGATATTTTATTGTTCTTTACTTGAATAAAATGAATTTTATTTATAAGATTTGCCATGTCATCAATGTTTTTTTAAGACAATAATTTTGTTCAATAGAAGGAGGTCTATTTTGCATGTTTTCGTAAATACAGGGTATTTTTGTACATGTTTAAATTTAATTTGGTGTAAATGGATACAGTATCACAAATACTAAATCTTATTTTTTTATAATCGAGAAACAGTTGAATTTCAACAGGGCTATGATCAAACAGGTACTGGGATTTGATCATGTGAGTGACTTATTAACCCTTTCAACCCTAGGGAACTTTAATAGGCTCTACCATACATTTATTTGGATGAGTCCATTATGGTCTACAGTGGTGAAAGGGTTAAGAATAATATGTGAACTTCATACAAAATATGAAATTTGAATATCAATTCTCACTCTCTCCGTTTACATAAAACTTTAAACTTAAATTAAAACTCCCACTGGTATTGTGGAAATTAAATCTTGATTTCTCCGATCAGGACGAAATCAACCGTCGTAAGATATGCTACCACATTGTTGGAGGTTGGGTGTCATCAGCAATGACACATTTTTTTCCATGCATTGTTAGGGAAATAAAACCCCACCCATTGGCCGAGAGTGAGAAAGTTTTAGGAGAAAAACCTTAGATGTAAGAAAGACAACTCTGGAGTACTTTCTGCCTCTTTGTAAAGCTTGTATAGGTAGAGAAAGTGTTCAGTACTCGATAAGTTATTATATATACATATATAAGAAATAATTTGTACCAGGGCTCACCCTGGACCTAAAAAATCAGTAGCCAAAAAAGTAGCCATGTTTGAATTTCAGTAGCCATTTTAAACAGTGGCTATACTTTCTCGGCCTTCAACCGTTACGGATAGGCCCTCCATTAAAATCATTAAATTTAATATTGTTTGAAGTGCAATACTATTCAACATGATGTTAGATTAAGGAGTACTCTGTTAAATTACAATTTTTGTTATACATCATGTTTATAATTTAATGCATAATGTGATATTTTTTTAATCCTTTCAGATTATATGGCTGTAATTTTAAGAAAACATGACTTTAATTAAAATGCTGAAAATTTCCACCAGAAAAAATCACCCATTCTCCACAAAAAAAAATGTTTTTAAAATTATATTAGAATAATACCAAGATCTATTGATATAAATTATTATGTTTCTATTGTGATAAAAATGAATTTGGATATTTTTTATACTACGTTCAAGTTCTATCTTCTATGCTGTGTTGATAAATGAACTTTATAATTACTCAATTATTATTTTGCTTTTTGGAGTATATAATTTATTGTTTATCACTGCTATATATATAAATATATGTATGGTGATTTGAAAGAGGTGCTTTATTGTTCTTGCAGGTTTAGTAAAATAAAGATAAAAAAAATTCCAGATCAATCCAGATAATTCATAGATGTTAGAAAATCTTTAATGTTTTTTTCTGTAACCTTAATATAAATATCATAAATAAAAACAGACAACAATAGTACTACACGCTCAGTTTTATGGAATAATATTTTTTCAGAATTTGTTTGGTCAACAAAATATATATATCAATGGATACATATATACCAGTACATATCCATACAAAAATAATCAGGTCAAATCTAACGGGATTGGTCAAATATATTTATGGTAATAAAATATTTACAATTATTTTAAATAACGATGAGTCTGATTCTCAATATTGTGAAAGTGCCATGTCATTTTAAAATGCTGATGTATATCTATTTCATTTGAAAAATGTATACCTTCCATTTTTTCAGCACTAAAGATCTTATACACATGATCTGCAATGAACGAACATTTTGTATTACATTTATAAAATGTGTCTCATAATTTTTCATTTAAGCAAGTTTAGCTGTGCAAAACAATATTCACGCCGAGTTTCATATATCTCATTTGAAACCGATAAAATTCAGTATTCACTTTTTCACATCGCCGAGAATGCATTGGAACATTTACAAAAATAATTTTCTTTACCTGGTATCATAAAGTCTGCAATGTTACCTCCATGTCTGTTACTTCTATTCCGACAGCACAATGACATGACGTCATGTTGTCATAGCGTGTCTGAATTCTGATACATGTATCTAAATATCATGACGTCATGTTGTATCATAAGTCGGACATATTAATACCATGACATCATATTTTATGTCTTAACTATGACAGCACCATGACATGACGTCATATTTATAATTTATTCTGACCTCACAATGCTATGACGTCATGTTATATGTCTTAATTCAGACATCACAATGTTGCTAGTTGATATACAATAAGACATGACATAGGTGTACATGTGTTCACCACAAAATATAAAAATATTCATGTACTACTCAATTTCAACTGTAGTTTTGTATAATTAAGCACAAATTATTTACGCTTATTAGTAATTAAAAGTTAACATGGCACTTTATTATTACATCCATTCTTATGTGTTTTGTTTTAAAAGAATGAATGCTCTGTTTTTGTAGTTTAGTACAATTATAAAATATGTGAATGCAACATAATATATGAATTCAGTGCTGTAGGTATAATACAGATTCAATGTAGATTTAATCCAATTTTATGCAATATTACAGTTGTTTCTTTATAAACTATACTAGTACATATATTACTTAGAAATCAAACAAGGTGATCTTCTCTGGAGACCTCCTAAACAGCACAAATTTCTTTATGACAAAAAGCAGTTTACTTTACATGAACATTAAAAGACCATTTCTGACAAGGGATCACTTTTTATACTTCCATTGGATAGCGTCTTAATACAGATTTGACTCTATATTCATAAGTGCATAGTTTCGTAGTTTATAATCACAGACTTATTGGTTTATGTAAAATTTCGTAGATAGCTGGAATAATTACCTTTGGACTAGGATAATTTAAGTTGTTACAATTAAAGTAACATGAAAATCACAAAAAATATACACAGTGAAATATAAATGATATACATGGATTTTTATCACCGGTGTAATAATGTAATGATATGAGATTTGGATCAAAACTATTTATGAATTAACCCTTTCACCACTGTAGACCATAATGGACGCATCCAGATCAATGCATGGTAGAGTCTACTAAAGTTACATAGGGGAAAGGGTTAATAACATGGGTCTTATCAAACGGCAAAAACAAAATACTACTGAGCGTTACACACCGTTTGTGCCTCTTGTTGAAATAATTGTCTTGTTTTGGATGATGTTATTGTAAGTAACGTTACGTATGTTGATACCGTCCCGTACATATGTATGGTACAGACTCCGTCACGATTGATTGTATTGGCTCGCTGAAATTGTAATACTATTTTTCAATAAAATATGAAAATTATTCTACATTTTGTTTTGTTTTACTTATTGATGAAAATTAAAAAAAGTTGACACAGAAAGCAGTCTGCTCTATTCCGTAAATGGCTACTGTTTACCAGTACTTCTCATGATAATCTCTCGAAACGAACTCAAGTTTCTGAAACTCCTTTCCTATGAGATCCTATGAGTAGGCCTAGTGGAAGCGAGACTAAGATGTTGCTTTTTCGCCGACGGCGGCGGCGTCAACATAGGTTTTGGTTAAGTTAGTTTCGCTGAGACTATTTTCACTGAAACATAAGTGCTACACCAACCAATCTTGGACGCATAGACGCATCTTGGGTAGTACATCTTAACCCATGCATCAAATGCTGGATGCGGCCTACGTTTCATGGTCCATTAAATTTGTCAGCATCTCAATCAACATTAAGTTTTTGCGTTTAAGTTATCATTTTAGTTTCTCTGATATGTGCATTGATGGTCAATGTGGGGCACCGGCGAGTTATTGAATATATTTTGCAATATAAACGGATTGTTTATAAATATTTGTTTGCAACAGATCTAGATGTATAAAGCCAAAGTTTAAATGTGTTATATACGTCTCTGGTTGCAAATTTCCCGTGGCCTGTTACTTGACTAAATAAATAGTTATTTTTAAGAGTATTTACACATACAGCTTCGTTGTTTTTTTTAAAACATTTTATTCAAAAACTATTTTGCAAGATGTATTTATAACTTTACTGTAACAGAGTAATATTTTTTTTTCAAACAATGTATTCAAAAATACATTTTACAAAATGTATTTATAACTTAACTTTGAAACCCCCCACACAATATGCATATTTCTAACGCTGGACAAAATACCAGGAAATACATGTTGTATTATATGTGTAACACGAAAACAAAATATATCTACAAATGCGGACAAAATAATCAGATATTATAATTGCTTTAGGCGCACTCGTGAAATATACAAAAAATATTAACTACACGAGTGAAATATATTTGGTTTTGAGATCTGAAAACAGAAGTTATAATTACAAATGTGACCATATAAACAGTATAAACAATACGTATGTAGTAACGAAATCTAATCAATAACTATTACTCCCTTTAAACAGGATAGTTACATATAAGAATTAATCAACATATATACATACATGGACATTGAAAGAGTACAAAGGTATCGTTATTTTAATGTGTACTTAAATTACTATATACTCCTTTATTTCCTCCAGAATGAAGATTATAATGATAGAGCATCACAATACAATCATCAATTACACATCAATTATCAAAATTATTATACATATATATTACAATAAATTTATGTTGTTAACATATTAGGGCATATAATTTAAGCTAGCAGTATCAGTCCCTTTTGATTATTTGACAATAATCAGCATAGATATAGTAAATGTGTCATTTGTAAATGATATTATCATTCGAAAAATAATTAAACAGACGTCATACGGACCTCTTCTAGGTCTGAGTTACACAAATTGTAAGAATAATCCCCCCCGATCAGAACATGAAATAATTTACTTTCGTTTAAGTCGTGCAAATATACGTACACTGAACAATATATCGCTAATATTAATGATATTACACCATAATTCGTCCTTTAATTCGTCAGTAGAACTACACTGCAAAACTATGTGGATGGCAACATCTTCATAAAACTGACCACATTTATTACATAATTCATTATGAGCCAACCGCCTCATGGTAACAATTAATTTCATTATGTAATAAACAGCAAAATAGATTTATGACCAGAAATTCTCCTAACAAATAAAGTATAGTCAAACGATTTTTGACGTCCTTTTCCTCTTATGTCTATTCCGTCTTTGCGTATTGCAGAGTTATCTTCTCTCGGGAGCAGGTATTGATTGTTATGTCACTTGTTTGTGAGAGGAACATCATCAATTTTTGAGAAAAAGACGTAAATTTCTCACACAAACAAATGACGTAACATTCAATACCTGCTCACATGAGAATATAACTCTGCAATACGTAAAGACGGAATAAGTTGCTCGATAACAAATCTGTGCGTAGCTATTCCGTCTTTGCTTATTGCAGAGTTATCTTGTCTTGGGAGCAGGTATTGAATGTTACGTCATTTGTTTTTGTGAGAAAATTACGTCGGTTTCTCAAAAATTGATGACGGTACTCTCACAAACCAATAACGTAACTATCAATACCTGCTCACAAGGGAAGATAACTCTGCAATACGCAAAGACGGAATTGGTCTATTCCGTGTTCTAACAACAATAGATTTAAATGAAACGAGGAACACACAACCATTCCATTTTGAACATGATTTTCTGTGACGGTATACCTGTCATATAAGCATACAACACTGCCTATCTACCACTATTCTACAAGTTCAAATTTTTATCAGATAAGTCACGTATTATGTGTCTACCTTATTCTATTAATAGCTCCGATCTTAAACAGTCTTACAATTTGCTATATTTTCAAAATAATATTATGTTCAGAAATCGTTACGCTGAGGCCAGCCTTTAATGTCCTGATCTGACCAGCTTATTCTGTAACAAAACCGCCATGATTGACGTTCGGATAGTGTCCATTCTACTGACATTGATAGGGTAAGTTTACCAAGAATTGGTTTTGGAAAAGAAATGTTTGAATCTACGCTGAAGAAGCTATATGGCCGTATGATCTTCTCGTCATGTCTTCGGTGTTGTACGTGTACTGTATTATATGTAACAGGTAAAATCATGACGGATTCTATATGAACTGCCATGGCGTTAACCCTGTAGGAGCACCTGGGGTTTCTCCCATTTTGCCGGGGGTCAAGATGTCCTCATTCCTATTTGGGTGTTCCTAGATCTACCTACAGTGTATATCAAATTTAAAATCCTTGGTGCTAGGACGTTACCGTACTTTTTTTGTGACTATTTGTCATTTCCTGGAATCATTATGGTTTACTGAACACAGTCTTTCTATTTGCGTTTATATTTTCTTTGTTCACCACCCTCGGACGTTTGTTGTATATGTCATTTTGATAAAACACTTGTAAATAAAAGAGAAATATAATATCATAGTGTCAACACAAAAGAAAAAAGGCTCCAAAGCTTCAGCAAACAGGGACATAGTATACCACAGCATCAACACACAAGGACATTGTATACCACAGCATCAACACACAAGGACACAGTAAACCACAGCGTCAGCACACAAGGACATAATATACCACAGCATCAACACACAAGGACATAGTATACCACAGCATCAACACACAAGGACATAGTATACCACAGCATCAACACACAAGGACATAGTATACCACAGCATCAACACACAAGGACATAGTATACCACAGCATCAACACACAAGGACATAGTATACCACAGCATCAACACACAAGGACATAGTATACCACAGCATCAACACACAAGGACATAGTATACCACAGCATCAACACCCAAGGACATAGTATACCACAGCATCAACACCCAATGACATAGTATACCACAGCATCAACACCCAATGACATAGTATACCAAAGCATCAACACACAAGAACATATTATACCACAGCATCAACACCCAAGGACATAGTATACCACAAGATCAACACCCAAGGACATATTATGCCACAGTTTCAACACACAAGGACATAGCATACCATAGCATCAACACACAGACAAAGTATACCACAAGATCAACACCCAAGGACATAGTATACCATAGCGTCAACACCCAAGGACAAAGTATACCACAGCATCAACACCCAGGGACATAGAATACCACAGCATCAACACACAATAACATAGTATACCACAGCATCAACACACAAGGACATGGTATACCACAGTATCAACACCCAAGGACATAGTATACCACAGCGTCAACACCCAAGGACATGGTTTACCACAGCATCAACACCCAAGGACATAGTATACCACAGCATCTACACCCAAGGACATGGTATACCAGAGCATCAACACACGAGAACATATTATACCACAGCATCAACACATAAGGACATAGTATACCACAGCATCAACACACAAGGACATGGTATACCACAGCATCAACATACAAGGACATGGTATACCACAGCATGAACACCCAAGGACATAATATACCACAACACCAACACACAAGAACATGGTATAACACAGTATCAACACCCAAGGACATAGTATACCACAGCGTCAACTCCCAGGGACATGGTATACCACAGCGTTAACACCCAAGAACATAGTATACCACAGTATCAACACCCAGGGACATAGTATACCACAACATCAACACACAAGAACATGGTATAACACAGTATCAACACCCAAGGACATAGTATACCCACAGCATCAACACACAAGAACATGGTATAACACAGTATCAACACCCAAGGACATAGTATACCACAGCATCAACACACAAGAACATGGTATAACACAGCATCAACACACAATAACATAGTATACGACAGCGTCAACACACAAGGTCATAGTATACGACAGCGTCAACACCCAGGGACATGGTATACCACAGCATGAACACCCAAGGACATACACATAGAGGTTACACAACGATTGGTTGTTGAATATGGTATCTATTTCACTCGAGTTAGGTAATTTTCAAAAGTTACAAAAGACACGAGCTTTTGCGAGCGTCTTTCTGTAACTTTTGAAAATTAACTAACGAGAGTGAAATACATACCATACTCAACAACCACGAGTCGTGTGATCTGTTTCTACCACAATCTCATGAACATACACACATGTGTTTTTTGACAAGGCTGGCGTAGTGATATGACCCATATGTAAAAAGTCACTCATTAATATTCAAAAATGACTTTTTTGAATATTGTCAAAATTAATGTTTCCGAAACAACTTCGTAAAAAAATAAAATAGATAAATGACTTTAAATATTTAGAGTAGCAGTATTGCATTAATTTATATAAATTAACCACGGACTATATGCGCGTAAGCATATCGTACGAAGTCTGCCTCCCGCCAAGTGATGAACCGTTGTAGACAAACTTATCGCTGTCAATATCCAAAACCATAGGCCTACGTTTCTTCGTGACGGTTCTATGGTTGACGTTTATAGTGAAAGTTTAGCCATAGTCAGACCGTCTAAATGGCGATAACAGGACGTTGGGAGAACGAAATATTTCCTGACACTGTGACAGATCTTGTTTTGGTTTCACGACCTGGACATTTTGCCTGAAACTAGCAGTCTATTCTTTAAGTATCATCTTTTAATATTGCCTTAATAACCCCCCCTTTCCGCATAACCTCACAAAGTCACCAACATTTGTCGGATGTTGACAGCCGACGACGTAAACAAAACAGCAGGTGGCAAAAAGCACGTGGAAAAAGTATTCCCGGTCAAAGTTCATCTTCTCGACCAATCAAAACTCTTGAAGGTCATATACCACGTGTGGTATATAACTCATATTTATCTAACAGTCTGCGGGTTTATACAATGATCTGAGTGTGGAATAACACAGCGTATTGTGGTAGAAAATGTAGTATACCACAGCATCAACACACAAGAACATGGTATAACACAGCATCAACACCCAAGGACATAGTATACCACAGCGTCAACACCCAAGAACATGGTTTACCACAGCATCAACACCCAAGGACATAGTATACCACAGCATCAACCCACAATAACATAGTATACGACAGCGTCAACACACAAGGTCATAGTATACGACAGCGTCAACACCCAGGGACATGGTATACCACAGCGTTAACACCCAAGGACATATTATACCACAGCGTCAACACAAAAGGACATAGTATACCACAGCGTTAACACCAAAGGACAAATATTCCACAGCTTCAGAAAACAAGGACAAGGTATACCACAGCGCCAGCACACAAGTCCAAAACATACCGCAGCATCAGCACAAAAGGACACATTTTACCACAGCATCAACACACAACGATAACGAGAGTGACAAGGACAGGGTATACCACAGTGTCAGCACACAAGGAGAACATATATCATAAACGTCAACACACAATGACAAATTGTACTTCAGCTTCAACACACAGGTACACATTGTACCTCAACTTCAACACACAGGTACAAATTGTACCTCAACTTCAACACAGGGACAGTATATGCAGCAGCGTCAAGAACAAGACAAAACATACCATATGTCAACACAAGACAAAACATACCATATGTCAACACAAGACAAAACATACCATATGTCAACACAAGACAAAACATACGATATGTCAACACAAGACAAATTATACGATATGTCAACACAAGACAAAACATACCATATGTCAACACAAGACACAACATACCATATGTCAACACAAGAGCAAAATATACCATATGCCAACACAAGACAAAACATACCATATGTCAACACAAGACACAACATACCATATGTCAACACAAGAGCAAAATAAACCATATGTCAACACAAGACAAAACATACCATAGGTCAACACAAGACAAAACATACCATATGTCAACACAAGAGCAAAATATACCACATCGTCAATGCCCAAAGTATTCCGCAACTTACAACATGACAATTATATGATATGTTTAGATGAATGTAATTAGAGAAGAGTTGCATATAGAAATTTAGACCATCAAAACAAAGTGTAGGGAGTGCGGTTTGTCAAATCATCTACCAGTTAAGGATTACACTATTTTACAAAACAAATGCGGTATTTTTATACGAAACAAAATCTGACAAGTGAAACCTTTTCCTTTTTTTTCCCTTTTTTTTTTCTTAACTGCCTCTTATTATTATTTTTAATTCGTTTGTCTGTAAATTTCATTGTTACTTATTTACTAAACCATCCTTACTTATTCTATCTTTGTTAATTATCAGATGGTCACTGGCCCTTCAACACTGTCCAAACGAATGTAACTGGAGTGGACGATGTGACGTACACAGAGGTCATTGCTCGTGCTACCAAGGATACTACAATGCCGACTGTTCTGGGGATTGTGGATGTGCTGGGCATGGAGTTTGCAAAACAGGTGAACCACATTTTCAAATGTTGTCTTAAGAAGACACACAGAGTTTATGTACGATGATGAATGTATCTATGTTATGATACGTTTTCTTCCAATACTCTTACTACGTTTCACGTTTATAACCAAATTACTAGTATCTATTTACTCTTGATTTATCTCACGAGCATGCAAATATTAACCAAATATGTACAGGACAGCAATTTGGCTCCCCGGACTTCATTGTAAAGCTTTACTATATAAAGATTGAAGCAGTTTTCACTGACTGGGTTAACACGATGCTGTTTGATTCGATGTAGGTTGAGGGTACCCAAAATAGAACACTTTTTAAAGAAAATATTTAAGCAAATCTTTTACTGTTATGAAACAATAGATGCCTTTAGCCTTCGTTTTATGCATTTCTTGGATATCATCAGCGTGTGTATGTCTTGTTACAGAGCCTAATAGTTGAGGCAGAACCACTTGGAAGTTGAATCTGACCAAGTATCAAAAACACCTCATCAAACAAGTCAGGTTATGGCGAAATCTTCACGACATAGATTTTTTTTTCTTCATTCAAAAAAGTCATACAATTTCTGAAAAAAATTCAGTCATTTAATTTCATTCAGATTTTCGTTTGAACAAATATTTTTTCAATGTATAGAAATGTGATAGGATATTCATGTTGTCGCACCGTACCATTTCCCGTTTAAATATTTCAATTATGAACAATATTTAAGAGGAAGGGAGATACAATTTGTTCAAAATGCTAAAATGCAAAACATTCAATTCATTTGCACTGCAAAATAAGAATGCTGCATCTTATATATCAAAAGAGTGCCATCTTGGGTATCGTTCCATTTTGGGTATACCCTCACCCTGAAGTGTGTACAGGCATGGTTTAGAATTGATGTATTACCTTCAGTTCACTGTATGTAGTCGTATGGTCATCGGACCATCTGCACTACAGAGACTTCAATAGGAAATACTTTCAGATCTACAATGTTTGGGGGGCAACTGCGGTTTTGCCTGTTCTTTTTAATATTGCATCCGTGTACCATACACTAATAACTTGATACCCATGTTTGTAGCTTCGCTTTATACGTATCGTCCTCAATACTCCAGGGGTTATGCTCACTTTCGCTCTCTGCAACCATGGAATGTGTCATTGGTGGTGTCGCATGTTGTATTGTCTCCTTGTTTCCATTGGATTTGCGCTCAGTTCTGATTTTGTCTTTGTGCGTGACGCTGTAGTAGGCATTTAGACTTGAAGTCGGCAATGACTTATTGAAAGTCAGGGATCCATATCAAACTATTATATACCAATACCATTTTCTTGTGTATTAATTTTTATGTGTAACTTATGAAACAAACAGATCTATATTCGCCAAACATCTATCCATTCTCACGAATGCTTGAATAGTTGATTCAACCGGTAGATCTTGAAATGGGTGGGGTGGGGGTGGGGGTGGGGGTAGAGTAGTATGTTTTGATCCCAGATACTTTATTCTACGTTCAATTCATTTTTTTTTTAGGGTTTACGACTCATCGAATATTCATTTATAAAGCCAAGTAACATAATCAACTATAATAAACATCGCTATCATAATAACAGTCATCGTCACCATCATCAACTGATGGGATTAACGTTTGTCATCATGATCTGATATCCACTGTTGATACTGTACATATGTACCCTTAAGATTGGAAGTCAAGAAAAAAAAAGACTCTGAGATTGGTGACCACCTGCATAATCGGAATCTGTGCTGGCTATTTTGGACAGTCGAAACAGACCATCATTGATCTGTTGTTCCTAGTTGGCACATCTCGTTTTGTTGTTCCTTCCAAAAACTTATTTTTTCAGCGGTGTCTCCCCATGACATCCCTGTTTTGTCTATTGACAGAATACAAGATACAAGAAATTTTATTTAACGTCGCATACAGGTAAACAAGGAACATTAGCTCTTGAGATCTATTATTGCGACAAACATATGTAAAAATAACAATAACATATTATATTACAAGTAAAGGGAGATAATCACATATATTAATAATAAAACAGTAATAATCATCACAGAAAAAGAAAGTATACATACATGTATCCCAGGTTTCTAAGTGATTGGGAGTCTCCTACCTACAAAGGCCCCCGGGATATATATATAAAAATGGTGTTAATATATGAAAAGCATTAAATGTAAAGCTAAGAAAATGCATTAATTTCACATTATAAACTTGACATGAAATGACCTGGTAATTTGTGGACACTGTCTTCATATGAACAGCTGTTTCGTGAACTTGTAACCCGTCGTTTGAATCAATCAGTAATGTACTCCCGTTAAGTGCCCAACTCACAGTCTGTTCCCCTCTGGTGACGTCATATTTTACTTCCAAGTCAACCATATACGTAAATGACTTCATTCTATTTCATATGTATTTACCATTGTATTATCATGCAATATTGGAACGGGTTTGGACAGCTCAATAGATCGTCTTTTCAAAAGTGAAAAATGCAAAAATGATTTTTTTGTAATACTGGTAATGACGTCATCCTTAGATAACGCTTTATTTCTTTATTCCAGATCACACTTGCGATTGTGACGATGGATGGACGTGGTCGACAAGTCTACACAAATGTGTCTGGGAGTGTAACTGTCCACACGGTAAGCATGCCAAACGTGTGTTTGGGAGTGTAACTGTCCACACGGTAAGCATACCAAACGTGTGTCTGGGAGTGTAACTGTCCACAGGGTAAGCATACCAAACGTGTGTATGGGAGTGTAACTATCCACAGGGTAAGCATACCAAACGTGTGTATGGGAGTGTAACTGTCCACAAGGTAAGCATACCAAACGTGTGTCTGATGGTGTATACGTAACTGTCCACAAGGTAAGCATACCAAACATGTGTATGGGAGTGTAACTGTCCACAAAGTAAGCATGCCAAACGTGTGTATGGGAGTGTAACTGTCCACATGGTAAGCATACCAAACGTGTGCCTGGGAGTGTTACTGTCCACATGGTAAGCATACCAAACGTGTGTATGGGAGTGTAACTGTCCAAAAAGTAAACATACCAAACGTGTGTCTAGGAGTGAAACTGTCCACAGGGTAAGCATACCAAACGTGTGTATGGAAGTGTAACTGTACACAGGGTAAGCATACCAAACGTGTATCTGGGAGTGTAACTGTCCACAAGGTAAGCATACCAAACGTGTGCCTGGGTGTGTAACTGTCCACAAGGTAAGCATACCAAACGTGTGTCTGGGAGTGTACTGTCCACATGGTAAGCATACCAAACGTGTGTTTGGGAGTGTAACTGTCCACAAGGTAAGCATACCAAACGTGTGTATGGGAGTGTAACTGTCCACAAAGTAAACATACCAAACGTGTGTCTAGGAGTGAAACTGTCCACAGGGTAAGCATACCAAACGTGTGTATGGGAGTGTACCTGTCCACAAGGTAAGCATACCGAACGTGTGTATGGGAGTGTACCTGTCCACAAGGTAAGCATACCGAACGTGTGTATAGTAGGGTAACTGTCCATAAAGTAAGCACACCAAACGTGTGTTTGGGAGTGTAACTGTCCACAGGGTAAGCATCCCAAACGTGTATCTGGGAGTGTAACTGTCCACAGGGTAAGCATTCCAAACGTGGGTATGGGAGTGTAACTGTCCAAAAAGTAAACATACCAAACGTGTGGCTAGGAGTGAAACTGTCCACAGGGTAAGCATACCCAACGTGTGTATGGGAGTGTAACTGTCCACAAGGTAAGCATACCAAACGTGTGTCTGGGACTGTAACTATCCACAGGGTAAGCATACCAAACGTGTATCTGGGAGTGTAACTGTCAATAGGGTAAGCATACCAAACGTGTGTATGGAAGTGTAACTGTACACAGGGTAAGCATACCAAACGTGTATCTGGGAGTGTAACTGTCCACAGGGTAAGCATACCAAACGTGTGTAGGGGAGTGTAACTGTCCACAAAGTAAGCATACCAAACGTGTGTCTGGGAGTGTAACTGTCCACAGGGTAAGCATGCCACACGTGTGTATGGGAGTGTAACTGTCCACAGGGTAAGCGTACCAAACGTGTGTCTGGGAGTGTAACTGTCCACAGGGTAAGCATGCCACACGTGTGTATGGGAGTGTAACTGTCCACAGGGTAAGCGTACCAAACGTGTGTCTGGGAGTGTAACTGTCCACAGGGTAAGCATTCCAAACGTGGGTATGGGAGTGTAACTGTCCACAAAGTAAGCTTACCAAACGTGTGTTTGGGAGTGTAACTGTCCACAGGGTAAGCATTCCAAACGTGGGTATGGGAGTGTAACTGTCCACAAAGTAAGCTTACCAAACGTGTGTTTGGGAGTGTAACTGTCCACAGGGTAAGCGTACCAAACGTGTGTCTGGGAGTGTAACTGTCCACAGGGTAAGCGTACCAAACGTGTGTCTGGGAGTGTAACTGTCCACAGGGTAAGCATACCAAACGTGTGTATGGAAGTGTAACTGTACACAGGGTAAGCATACCAAACGTGTGTATGGGAGTGTAACTGTCCACAGGGTAAGCATGCCACACGTGTGTCTAGGAGTTCATTAGTATGCCCTGTGGTTTATTGTGGTCATTAGTATGCCCTATGGTTTATTATGTTCATTAGTATGCCCTGTAGTTTATTATGTTCAGAAGTATGCCCTGTGGTTTATTATGTTCATTAGAGTGTCCTGTGGTTTATTATGTTCATTAGTATGCCCTGTGGTTTTTTTGTGGTCATTAGTATGCCCTCTGTTTTTTTGTGGTCATTAGTATGTCCTGTGGTTTATGATGTTCATTAGTATGCCCTGTGGTTTATTATGTTCATTAGTATGCCCTGTGGTTTATTATGTTCATTAGTATGCCCTGTGGTTTTTTTGTGGTCATTAGTATGCCCTCTGTTTTTTTGTGGTCATTAGTATGTCCTGTGGTTTATGATGTTCATTAGTATGCCCTGTGGTTTATTATGTTCATTAGTATGCCCTGTGGTTTATTATGTTCATTAGTATGCCCTGTGGTTTTTTTGTGGTCATTAGTATGCCCTCTGTTTTTTTGTGGTCATTAGTATGTCCTGTGGTTTATGATGTTCATTAGTATGCCCTGTGGTTTATTATGTTCATTAGTATGCCCTGTGGTTTATTATGTTCATTAGTATGCCCTGTGGAATATTATGTGCATTAGTATGTCCTGTGGTTTATTACATTCATTAGTATGCCCTGTGGTTTATTATGTTCATTAGAATACATGTGGATTATTACATTCATTACTATGCCCTGTGGTTGTTTATGTTCATAAGTATGCCCTGTGGTTTATTATGTTCATTAGTATGCCCTGTGGTTTATTATGTTCAGAAGTATGCCCTGTGGTATATTATGTTCATTAGTATGCCCTTTGGTTTATAATGTTCATTAGTATGCCCTGTGGAATATTATGTGCATTAGTATGTCCTGTGGTTTATCATGTTCATTAGTATACCTGTGGTTTATTACATTCATTAGTATACCCTGTGGTTTATTACGTTCATTAGTATGCCCTGTGGTTTATTACATTCATTAGTATACCCTGTGGTTTATTACATTCATTAGTATACCCTGTGGTTTATTACATTCATTAGTATACCCTGTGGTTTATTACGTTCATTAGTATACCCTGTGGTTTATTACATTCATTAGTATACCCTGTGGTTTATTACATTCATTAGTATACCCTGTGGTTTATTACGTTCATTAGTATACCCTGTGGTTTATTACATTCATTAGTATACCCTGTGGTTTATTACATTCATTAGTATACCCTGTGGTTTATTACGTTCATTAGTATACCCTGTGGTTTATTACATTCATTAGTATACCCTGTGGTTTATTACATTCATTAGTATACCCTGTGGTTTATTACGTTCATTAGTATACCCTGTGGTTTATTACATTCATTAGTATACCCTGTGGTTTATTACATTCATTAGTATACCCTGTGGTTTATTACGTTCATTAGTATACCCTGTGGTTTATTACATTCATTAGTATACCCTGTGGTTTATTACATTCATTAGTATACCCTGTGGTTTATTACGTTCATTAGTATACCCTGTGGTTTATTACATTCATTAGTATACCCTGTGGTTTATTACATTCATTAGTATACCCTGTGGTTTATTACGTTCATTAGTATACCCTGTGGTTTATTACATTCATTAGTATACCCTGTGGTTTATTACATTCATTAGTATACCCTGTGGTTTATTACGTTCATTAGTATACCCTGTGGTTTATTACGTTCATTAGTATACCCTGTGGTTTATTACATTCATTAGTATACCCTGTGGTTTATTACATTCATTAGTATACCCTGTGGTTTATTACATTCATTAGTATACCCTGTGGTTTATTACATTCATTAGTATACCCTGTGGTTTATTACATTCATTAGTATACCCTGTGGTTTATTACATTCATTAGTATACCCTGTGGTTTATTACATTCATTAGTATACCCTGTGGTTTATTACATTCATTAGTATACCCTGTGGTTTATTACATTCATTAGTATACCCTGTGGTTTATTACATTCATTAGTATACCCTGTGGTTTATTACATTCATTAGTATACCCTGTGGTTTATTACATTCATTAGTATACCCTGTGGTTTATTACATTCATTAGTATACCCTGTGGTTTATTACATTCATTAGTATACCCTGTGGTTTATTACATTCATTAGTATACCCTGTGGTTTATTACATTCATTAGTATACCCTGTGGTTTATTACGTTCATTAGTATGCCCTGTGGTTTATTACATTCATTAGTATACCCTGTGGTTTATTACATTCATTAGTATACCCTGTGGTTTATTACGTTCATTAGTATGCCCTGTGGTTTATTACATTCATTAGTATACCCTGTGGTTTATTACATTCATTAGTATGCCCTGTGGTTTATTACGTTCATTAGTATACCCTGTGGTTTATGATGTATATTAGTATGCCCTGTGGTTTATTATGTTCATTAGTATGCCCTGTGGTTTATTATGTTCATTAGTATGCCCTATGTTTTTTATGTTCATTAGTATGTCCTGTGGTTTATCATGTTTATTAGTATGCCCTGTGTTTTATTATGTTCATTAGTATGCCCTGTGGTTTATTATGTTCATTAGTATGTCCTGTGGTTTATTACATTCATTAGTATGCCCTGTGGTTTATAACATACATTAGTATGTCCTGTGGTTTATCATGTTTATTAGTATGCCCTGTGGTTTATGATGTTCATTAGTATGCCCTGTGGTCTATTACGTTCATTAGCATGCCCTGTGGTTTATAACATTCATTAGTATGCCCTGTGGTTTATTATGTTCATTAGTATGCCCTGTGGTTTATTATGTTTATTAGTATGCCCTGTGGTTTGTTTTGTTTATTATTATGCCTTGTGGTTTATTATGTTCATTAGTATGCCCTGTGGTTTATTATGTTCATTAGTATGCCCTGTGGTTCATTATGTTTATTAGTATGTCCTGTGGTTTGTTTTGTTTATAAGTATGCCTTGTGGTTTATTATGTTCATTAGTATGCCCTGTTGTTTATTATGTTCATTAGTATGCCCTTTGGTTTATAACATTCATTAGTATGCCCTGTGGTTTATTATGTTTATTAGTATGTCCTGTGGTTTATTATGTTCATTAGCATGCCGTGTGGTTTATAACATTCATTAGTATGCCCTGTGGTTTATTATGTTCATTAGTATGCCCTGTGGTTTATAACATACATTAGTATGCCCTGTGGTTGTTATGTTCATTAGTATGCCCTGTGGTTTATTATGTTCATTAGTATGCCCTGTGGTCTATTATGTTCATTAGCATGCCGTGTGGTTTATAACATTCATTAGTATGCCCTGTGGTTTATTATGTTCATTAGTATGCCCTGTGGTTTATTATGTTCATTACCTCGACTTGTTGCTTCATTGCCACTACCCCAGTTCTCACTTTGAGGACGTGGTATCATTTCAGTTCGCTTAGAATTAGACATTTCGTGTTGTCGATGAAGCACAATACGCTTATCTTTGCGGGACATCTGCTCTTTTTTCACTGACCTTTTTAGGTCTTCGTGCAGGTCTTTCCTTTGTTTCTCTTTTTTTAGTGTTTCATTGTTTGATTTAAACTTAAGTTAATTTCGCAATAATATTTCATAACATACATTTTATACAACAAGGATTTTATCGTTTATTTCGAACCACGTTCACACTTCGCCATTCTCTTGTATAATTTCAAACAGGATCAAAAGGCCAGATGCCACTTTGTTAAACTTTTCGTTTGTAACCTCGTTGTGGTTGGTCAACGCCTGAAATCATTTACATCAATTAAACGGAAAACATTCATCTAGTAAATGCTCAAAATAATATACTGAAATTAAAAACTCAAAGAACTAGTATGTGGATTTAAAATTCCTCTAACGATCTGTTAAAAATCAAACACATATGAATACATTTTCAATTAGTTCTCAAAAATAGGTCACTTCTTTTTAATGGAATTTACATTTAAATTATTCACCCGAATGAAAAAAAATGTAACTGTATTCGTTTACAAAAAAAGAAATATGATATAGGTCAGTTGTAACAGTTGACGGATATCTATTTAAGGATACTAGATTTACGCTTTTGTAGAAGTCATTTTCTCTGTATGTTGTTGTATCCTTCCGAAAAACTCGTTAACATGGAAATATACATATGTAATTTGATTGTGTAGGTGTAAGGTGCATGGGGCCAGGAATCTGCGCATGCGCACAGAGTTGCAAATATGGCACGTGCTGGAATGGTCAATGTGAGTGCTGGACAGGTTATACTGGCCATACCTGTTCGCATTACAACCCATTAACGTAAGTTAGATATCTCTTGCGTTAACAAATGGAGTCATTCACAATTGAGGACAAATACCGGTAAATAAGAGAGAGTAAATAATCCGTAAAATAATATTTTATACTAGAGTTTCAGTTGTGATCAGTTGTAATTGTGGAGAAGAGTTCCATTCCAGAAAGTTTATTTGAATGGAGTAGTCTCCCTATTATCTATAAGATAAATACACCAAAGGCAGTTATTCTGTTCCCGAATCTCAACATTAATGCAAGTGTAGGCTTCGCAAGGTAAAGGCCTTGAGTTAGACCCCTGCAGTCTTTCTGTTTTCTGTTTCCTATTTTTTCCCATATTTTCCCTTTTTTATTTTGCATTTTCAAATATTCAAATTCTGAACAACTATCATTCTGTAAAAACGCATGGCAACATGCGATTTTTATGGAAAGGACTAAAACAAATACTTTTATTCGGAATAGTGACAATATTTGACATGCTTGTACCTTTTACCTTAACAGAGTTTACTTAAGTAAAAGTAAGCCTGTCTAACACAGTGCCTCACCCAAATCTGCAACAATTCTGTTTATGTAACGATACAGTAACAGACATGGGATGCCTTTCCAGCATTGAATCGTCTTCAGTCTTAGTTTTTTACTCCCAATGTTTTTTTTTGAGAATGCCAAATTTCTCTTCCGAGCACAGGATGCCTAACAGGGGCGTCAGTGTGGGTATGAACCTCGGCGGCCTTTCCTACTACTCCAGTGAAGTGAAGTTCGTAGACGTGGCGAAAGAATCCATGGAATGGATAACACAAAGACGAGAGGGCGCACAAGCGCATCAGTGGAATACTCAAGAGGAAGCAACAGTTGCCTATGACGACGACGGATATCCCAAACGACTGGAAGGTTTTGTTTGTTTGTTTGTTTGTTTGTTTGTTTTGGGGAGACATGCTATAATATAACGCCAATAAAACTGCAGATAGCTTTTGTGAAACCGTGTATCGTTTGGAGATGTCCGTATGTGCTAAGAAGGCATCTCTTTTCCTTTCGAGACCAAAAAGAATGCAACATTTGTTGTTTGATTTGGCATCAGTTTGCTTATTTTCTATTATTTTGCTTCCTTGAATTCCTGCACAAATATTTGTGTACACGTGTGATGTATCCGATTGCTTGCACTGCTACCCAAAACATACATTTGGCTATTTTTCAGTTATGATTTAGTGAGGCATGAAAGTTTATTATCATACGTGTCTTGGCTCAAAGCCTGATGTAACAATAATCTTTTAAGATTCCACCTAATGCTCGAAAAAAACATAGCATCTGAAATATCTACCACTGTATGGTGTTGCCACTATATTACTCTGCAATTACAAATGGCATTCATATTGACTGTAAATACCAAGTACTACGTATTAACATTATCATTACATTAAGTCATGATTGTTACGTTGTATACCTCTGATGGTTTATTGGAAATGTCTGTTCTATTCATTGAACAAGTATATACGATGCACATATTAATTTGAAGTAAATCATTTAATGCGGCATATTTATAAACACGTGGTTATTTCAGTGATACCATAATACCATAAAAATGGTAAGTATAAGCATAGCAGTGTGTTGATATGGCATTTACAGTCTGTATGAATGACAACACTTTGCAGTCAAACAAATCATTATGGGCTAGCGCACGTTATAAGTTTTGCTGTAAAAACTTGTTCGATTTGCTTAGAGTATATATGCAATATTAACACAGTTAAACGCTGAATTAAAGCTAACATATTTTTCTCTGTATAGATACGATGATACTGGTGACCTTGATGCTCCGTGGAGGTCATTGGAGTCCCGGGGGTAACTATACCATACTGTATGACGGAGAGGGAGAACTTGACCTTGGACTCGTTCACGTCACACGTGTCTACGAGGGCAAAGGTAATATTCCTCTATGAGCATTACTTTAAGAGATTGCATTCATAGGGCTATGAACGCAATTGGATCAGCGTCATTTCGAAGCTTCTCCTCCCGCCTCGACTAACATGATCCAGTCCACGGTTTAGGTTGTAATTCAGCACTGAACTGGTTAGAATGGTCGGGATGATATTCCGTAACACCATGAAAACAGCGTTACATGCGTATTGTTACACTTAATACTCCAGACAGAGAATTATTAGAATGTGGATTTTTTCTAAAAAGAACTTGGTTCCTTGATCAACCCTGAACCACCTCTTTTCAAAACTGTGTTTTTTCTGAACATCTGATTTTCTCACTCCATACACCACTATATCTCATACCAAACTGGAGGAACACATTCGTTCTTTAATCATGGGAACTTCCTATTTCAGGAACAGCGGACGGTGATATACATATATGGTTGTAAAGTTTTTTTGAGCATATTTTGTGAAATATATACGACCTGGCTAAGAAAAAATATACCGAGGGTGAAATCGTGATGCTGAGTTGGATGCCAAGGTTTCCTAGAAGACTGCTCACCTCTCCTGATCGGCTTGCTTATCTTTTCAAAGGAGGCTAAAGAGCTCATCACGACTGGAAACAGAATCCTGCCATGTCCTTCATTTTCACTTTAGGATATTATGACGAAGTGTTATCTTCAATTTTTTAACACATATATCCAACGCAATTGTTTAAACTTATCTTGACATCATAGACATTACGGGCTCTTCTTCGTCTGTATTCTTTCGCGAAGAGATGGCTTCTGCAAGCGTGATGGTTTTAATGTTACAATCGCTAATGTCTTCTTTCTCGATATAAGCTTCCCTGCTCCCCCAAATACAGTTCTTATATTTTGCAGTTGATTCATTATACCAGGGCTTGCTCTAAATATAATCATTTACTGTTGACGGACAAACATAATATCATAGTTCTCGAGAGATCAAAGTTGATGAAACCGGTCGGCAAGTTTCCTGGACGCGAAATAATCTCATTGGGAAATAGCCTATGAATGAAGATGTTTTTTGCACTCATGATATCGCCTTGTGGTTTCGTTGTCACTACCGCGATTCTTACTTGGAGAACGTGACAACTCATATATACATTGTAGGTTTGTTCGATGAGTCTGCATAATCGAACCATTCCGAAACACCTTACCATATTGTTCTTGCATTTTAAAGGTCTGTACATTAATCTATCTTTTTTATCTCATTTTTATCGGGTTTTTTAAGGTCGAATTTCGGTTTTTCTGATACTTAAGTATCCCCTTAAAACAATTTGGATATATGTTCCATCCTTCACTTTTCACAAAACTCGTTTTCGTGTCTGTCTTTGCACACTTATAGTTATATCTACCATTTTGACCTGCATGTCCTTATTGTGGCAGTTTCCTATTTTATATATGAAATATTCACACATTACGTGATATATGACATCATCTTACAGGACGCATCATCGTCAATATGGATCCTGGATCAGGTGGTATCGAACTGAAGCTCATGCGCATAAACCCACAAAACCATATTCGGAACATCCGAGTCATACTTCCGGGTTTTGAGGATAGGCATGCGCACTTCCCTTACAATCCATTGTTCTTAGAGACAATCACACGTTACTCTGAGTTCCGATATATGGACTTCATGCATACAAACGCACACCGGGTAAGTATTTTGAGTCAAATATCTCCATGTTATGAATGGTTTTTCTAAAATAACAATAATCTTGAGTTCTTGAGAAGTATATCATTTTTTAGCATATCGTTATATATAATTTTCATCATGGTTCGTGTAAAATACTTTTTTTGCAAAAAATCTTTATTTTTCTCGAGGGGTAATTGCAGTTATGTACATGTACGTTATTGATATGGTGTCACGGTTACAGCCCGAACCTACAACATGGGCAAGTCGCAGGAAGCAGACTTTTTACACCCAGACCGGAAGCTACGGTGCCGCCATTGAAAACATGATACTGTTGAGTAACATGATGGGCGCCAACCCTTGGTTTAATATCCCTCACGCAGCAGACGACGACTTCATCAGACAGTTTGCGGCTTTGGTCAAATCATCCCTGCGTCCAGACCTTAAAGTTTGTTCATTTCCATTCTATTTAAGTTTTTAAAAGTGGCAACATATACGCAGACATCGATATTACTTACCCATAAGAGTACTGTTGATCTTGTGAGCAGAAACATTATGATGTATGCAACATTATCAGTTAATTAAAATTGACCGATGATTAAGGACAACAACACAATCTGATTGTGTTCTGCGTTTGTTCGACACAATTATTTCAAAGTACATGAATAAGTTTACCCAATCATAAATCGACATTTACTGAGTTATAATGATATATAACATTTGATATAGCGCACTATTTAGCTAATATAAGCCACTCTAAAGCGCTTCAGAGTCCACAGATTTACAATTAAAACAATTAGCATATACATTAATCGATACAATTTTGAGGAATTCGCAGGAGCTGCCTTAACAGGCGCTAACTACTAGTCCTATGCCACCTGGCTAATATCTCCCTATGTGGGTATGCCTGCGTGGTTGCTGGAGATGTAATGTAATTGATGTAAGTTGTGTGGTTTATGTTGTAGGTTTAACTCTTTTAGGTTTATAGTTTTTAGTTTATTATTAGCATCATATTTGTTGATATCCTATTTGAAGGTATATCTTGAGTATTCCAACGAAGTGTGGAATGGAATATTCCGCCAGACAGCATATACAGTAGAAAAGGGGACACAACTCGGTCTAGACAGCCATGGTAACAGGGCTGGGATGAAATATTATAATCAAAGGTCATCGGAGGTCATGCAGATATTCCAGGCGGTAAGAAGTCGGCGTCCTAGTGTCAGACTATTTATGTAAAACATTTTTTTGTTTTGTTTTTTTTTGTCATGCAAACAGTTGTCGATTTTATTTAAACTCTTTATTTCTTCTTAATCGGGCATCTTGTTAAGAATCTGTTTCATCTTTTTTTGTTTTATATCTTTTACACCTGTCAAACCTTGAGTGTGGTATTAACGGAGAGTTAATAGCTTTTGCTATATAATAAAAAGGAAAATTACCATTTTATCATGCTGATCAGAAAAATAATTTGAAGGATAGCATCACGGTAACTAAAGTGTAAACGAAATCCCGTAACACTTGATCAAAACGAGATTTAAACGTGATTTAAACATCCTAAACATGACATACATCCACAGCGGTACACATCTCATATTACGGTTTGTTTTTTGTTTGCCTCTTCTATATCGAATTAGTTTCCTGTGTATTTATTAATGAACAGGTATTTGGTAATCATGGCAACGATAGACTCATTCCCGTGTGGGCGTGGCAGACTGGTTACCAGGACTACTACCGACAAGCACTTGATGACCTCGGTAACCGGACACGTGACTTTAAGGCTCTGTCAATCACAGGGTATTTTTCATGCGACGGCGCTGCTTCAAAACATGTTCGTCATTTTTTTGCGTAATATCTTGACTAATATTTTATAATCATCTATGATATTTGATTAGTAGGTCTACATAACCAATTATATTATTTTCACGGGTATTTGTCAAACAAACAAAAAAAGAACCAATAATACTTAAATGTTAACGAAACCATAATTCGAACTCCACATCGATAAAAATCATTTATTAGATTTTACTAGTGTGGTTTTTGTATTGAAGCAAAATTTAAAAAAAAGTCCGATACACATATTATTAGTATAATTTCCAATAATTCAGAACGATCTTACAGAATGCAATCAACATATTAAAAAATCGATAGTATCTTTAAGGAAATTAGAAAAAGTCGATAAACTATTCCACAAATGTAGATGAAGCCCTAAGGATGAGGATGTGTCCCTCCTGTATTTGTTTTAGAAAGCTGAGTTACCAAACATGACAATGAGCGAGATAAGTGACCTTTGTGCCTTGGGACTTTCCACCCAGGAAAACCTGTACCAACACTACATGGATGTCGCGAAGGTTAAACAAAGTTAATGTTGATTATCAGAACAATTTCATCTATATGACCTTTTCCTGTGAGGATGGTTTAACACAATGTTATAGTAATATTTTATCCTGTCCATCAGCACCACATTTTCAAGCATCATTTATGCTAGTTACCTAAAGTAGATACTCTATATTTCTCAAAAGTATTGTTTACCCTTTGTATCATCATAAGAACAGTGGTGAGTAAACTTTAGTTTCTAACATGGTGATCTGGAGTTCACACAGAAAAATAACACCGATGCTCTAGCTTGTGTTTTGGACTTTATAGCCTTATGCTCTGCAATTGAAAAAAGAAAAGCTGCACATGAGTTGACTACAGGAAACATTGTTAATCATAAAACAGTCTTCTTTTGGTCAGTATATTTTTTTTGAGTGCATATATTTTATGCTTTTATATTTTAAGAAGATCATATCGATTCATCAGGCAGTCTTGAACTGTAGGTTTAGATTTATTATTATTTATTTTGCAACCTGCAAAAAGTCAATGCTTTTAATGCAATTTCAATATTATTTCATTTCCTCACGCAGCGCACAGTTAATTCGGGCAATAGACTGCCCTCTTGTCAAACAAATGTCTGTTGCCCTTAAACCTGTTAATGTTTTCGTCTTGTTTGAGTTAGGACCTTGTCGCTTCTGATGCATTATATAAGTATACAGTTTGCAATAATTATAATTTTATAAACATCTTCTTCAGAACCACAGTTTAGCGCTGGTGATGTATGAGGGAGGACCAGCCGTGATGGAACCTGGGGCCATATCACATGGAACATCAAATGACGCTGTCACAACCAAGGCCATCGCGTTTAATTCCGACCCTCATATTAAAGTTAACGTGATGGCGATTCTGAACGCCTGGAAGAGGATCGTGACAGATGCCCCGGGAAATCAGGCTTCTGGTTAGTCTTTAAAATAACAAGAAGCACAAAGGCCTTAGCGGTCACCTGAGTTGTCACCTGAGTTATATCATAGGTACTGGTAGCTTTATTTTATTGTTTAGATGTGATGTGGAAATCAACATGTAAACTAAGTGAAATATAATACTTGTCATGTCATCAAAGGATAAGAATTTGAAAATATTGGTAAATGTTCCCTTTGGGGCCCCGCCCTAGCCCCTGGGGATCGCGCAGGAATCCTAATTTTACAATGTAATACCCTCATTCACCAAAGGTAATTCTGACTAAGTTTGAGTAACTTTCTGCTGAAAATGGATAAAATATACCCAGAAGTGTTATTTCCCTATATAAACTATAGTAAACTTTACCCCCTCCCCAAGGGAGAACGGATTTAAATAAAGCCTATGATGATTTTTCTTTATATGCACTGAAATTGAATGTAGTACCTCTGAGTCATGGGAGAAGATTTTTATAATATTGGTTAATTTTCCCTTTGGAGCCCCGCCCTGGCCCCTAGGGTTGGGGTAGGAATCTCAATTTTACAATTTGAAACCATATTCCTCCAAGGATAATTCTCACCAAGTAAAAAAAAAATCCCTACAGAAAGTTGTTAAAATATACCCAAAAGTGTTTTTTCCCTATATAAACTATAGTAAACTTTACCCCCTCCCCAAGGGAGAACGGATAGATCGGGGGTCCTGAAATTTACAATTTAAATAAAGTCCCTGATGATCTTTCTTTTTATGCACTAAAATTGAATGTAGTACCTCTGAGTCTGGAGATTTTTGAAATATTGGTTAATTTTCCCTTTGGGGCCCCGCCCTGACCCCAGGGGTTGGGGTAGGAATCCCAATTTTACAATTTTGTAGCCTCATCTACCAAGGATGATTCTGGCTAAGTTTGAAAAAAAATCCATCCACTGGTTCTTGAGAAGAAGTTGAAAATGTAAAACGTTTACGCACGACAACGGACGACGACAGACGGAAAGCGATTAGAATAGGTCACTTGAGCAAAGCTCAGGTGACCTAAAAATAAAAGCAAATCTCTATACATGATTGCAAAAGGAACATCTGTTACACAGGCAGTCTTGTGTGGTTGAATGGTTTGGCTTAAATATCAATAATAATGCTAACCCTAATCCCCAACATTATAGTTACAATAATACAGATAACCAATCGTATCTTACCGTTCTACACCATCAGAACTAGGAACTTCCAGCTTTCACAATTTGTTTTGCATTTCCATAATTTTACATTTATTTACGCATGTAAATGTGTAGTTTAGACGTACAAGGAAATAAAGGAAAGTGAGCACAACCCATTGATTATCGTGGACGGGGTGGGGTGTAAGGTAAATACAAATGTTATGATGAAACTAATATAGAATCGTTCGCTTTGCGATTAGACGCCTTGCATATTGCGGTGTTGTTTGAATAACGATAACACCGAAATGATTAATTCACACCGAAAGCGCGTGATTGTAATCATGTAACATAGCTTACTAATATCAAAACTTTCGAAAATGTATTTGATTCGCTTTAGGCGGCCTATTCAACTACTTTTCTTCGGCCGGTTTTCCAAGCAAATACGGAAGCTGGGGGATGCTACAATACACTGGGGAGGACCTGCACAGCGTCCCCAAATATATGGCTGTTCACGAGTTCATCACCAAACAACTCGGCCATGACGTTCTCGGAAACAAATGTTCTTTCGTAAAAAGTGGGAACCTCGCGTTCGGATGCTTCAAACCAAAAAATGGACATAGCTGGAAATGTGGCAAATCTTACAATCATGGATCAGCCTGGGAGGTATACGAGCTTAAATACTTCAAAAATGTCGTAAGATACAGTTTAGAGTTAAAGAAGGAACACTTGCGAATCTGACAAATGAACGAGGGATACGCGACTTTTGATGTTCCTGTAAATAATTATAAACCCTCGCCAATGACCCACTACGAGAACGTCCCTGAAAATTACTACTCACAAAACAACTTGAACATTTCCTTTTTAATGATCTTTTTCAACATTAATCGACTTTGATATGCACATCTCGAGGTTTTGTATAGGTTCAATTTTGTTTAAGCAATGGTTTATTCAATAATCGTGCATGGTTATAACATACATGTAATCTCAGGGGGAGTGGAACACAAGCTTAGAGCTTATATCAATTCCTGTTTTATTGGGTTGGTTAGCAACCTAGAAAGATTCATCTATTATACGTCTCTGCCTCAGCGAAGCAAATGTTCTGTGTATCGAAATACTTATAATCACCGTGGAGAACATGAATCACGCCGACCATTATCATGTATCTATACTCTACTCATTCTCTCAATTTGTTTTAAAAATTGTCGCGTATATACATATTGATCAAAAACTAAAGGGAATATATCAGTAATTACGTTTGAGATCAATCTTAAATAAAAAATCAAAACAAAAAAATCACCTCGAACGACTCATTTAAACCTAGTAAAATGTTCGACTTCCTTTGTACGTTCCAGTACTTGCCTGACCTACCCGGACAAGGTATCCTAAGTATTCTTGACGGATACGATTCCATTACTCACACACTGTTTGTTCGGACAGTTGATGCGGTGGGTGTGAACCAATATCACGTGACCAATACCAACCATTTCAATTGGACCACGTAAGCTTATTCACACTCCAATACAAAAGATTTCGTTTTCCATTCCCTTAAATAACTGTTCATTATAATGAAGCATCGGTATCCCAGTTATCATTATCAACAATGTGTCGTCAACTAACTGTTTAAGTGTGCAAGTGGGACGTTTTTAATTTATGTTCAGACATAATTCTGAATCATCATTTCTGTTTTTGAAATTAAATTTGAAGTCAATTCATTGTTCCATTTACTCAAATTTATACATATCTATCCGACTGACTTTCTAAAATCTCACTTATTCTTCAAATTATTCTGTTTTATTGCTCTTATCTTGTTGATTTAGTACAGACAGTTGGGACTATCATTCAAAGTCTGCCTCTCGTCATGTGACTCGAAGTCTCGCGGCGGGAGATTATCACCATCTAGCTACAGCCCACGCTGACTGTGTATATTATGCACACGCACCTGCGCCTGTCTTGGGTTGACAACTTGAATAAAAGTATGTACACAGTTGCATGTATTCTTTTTAATTTCTTGCAAGTAACTAATGTTCAATCAAAACGGATATTTATAAGTGCACATCAATCTGTGTATCCAGCTCTTTAAGGTTTAAAATTGTATATTCCGACCATATTTACCGTTATAACTTCATTTTCTTGATAGCAACATCCCAGCTTCCCCTTCCTACGGTATTTACATGTCACATTTGAATCGGTACTCAAGAACTTGCTTCTAATATCATTTTCCCGTGATATCTGTCGACAGATGACGGACAAATTTACAACACATGGTTTTCAAATATACAAATTGATAAAAACTATTGACAAGTATGGTCGCTATCAGGATCTCGCATGGAATATGTTATTTTTGTGTTATATGAAGGACGATGTTTTTTAAATATGCTCAGAGAGCTTCTGGTTTTCTTGTTTCTGTCCTAGTTCTCGATGGGAGGGCGTGACATTACTTGGTTTCGACTTAGATTTACATGATGGTTTTTATCGATGAAACTGACTATCACGAATGACTCAAGGGAGTTTTTTTCTTCTTATACCGACTCCCACGATGTTTGTTGATTGTTCACTCCAATAATTGTGAAGACTGCCAGGACAGTTTCTGATCCCTCGTTACTATTTCTAAAAGACTGTCAGGACAGTTTCTGATCCCTCGATTTCTATTTCTAAAAGACTGCCAGGACGGTTTCTGATCTGGTTCTATTTCTAAAAGACTGCCAGGATGGTTCCTTTATTTCTCTCCTATAGTTTATTTTTCTTCCTCACCAGGATAAACAATTATATAAATTGAACAACGTTGATGAATAAAGAGACAAAGCCGATATAAAATTGCATTGTTTAATCTCATATTGCACTAACCATTGTGACATGGCGGCATTCATCTTCAGGCAAGTAAATCCCACAAGTAACTAAGGTAAAACGTGCTAACATGAACTTACATTAAAAATCTAAAATAATTTGCTTTTTTGGACACATATATTTACAACATTGGTTTGCTTTGAACATATACAAAGCATTCACGTTTCTTCATCACCATGCATTTGATGCACTTTATCTAAATTTAACAAACTAGTGTTAACAGTTTATGTTAACAAAAACTCTAATAACGCCAAATGAGTTGTCAGTGTTAACAAGTGGTAGTACATATTATGGTTTATTGAAACCAAGTCACGTGATTTTAATCCTCACACGTGTGATCTCATCACGTGTCATTAGTTACACATGTTGTTCCATACAACTACATTTGAAGCATTTGCATGTAATTCTTTATCTAAATAAGTTGTCATAAACTGCCTCAAATCTTGTATTGATGCCAAAAAATCATTGGACAGACTGTTCAACAAAAAATATGTAGCTGTGAAAATAACATACCCAGCTCAATTAAAAACAAAATGAATCTTGTAGACCCTGGAGTGCCAGTTTGTAGTTGATTGAATTAATTTAGAAACGTGTTTGCACTTATCATTAGACAAGAACAGATGTGTTGACGTATTAAGTGCGGATATAAGTGTAATGTAACATTCGTGCAACGCGTATTGTAGAACTTTTTTGATGTATACACATTGATTTCCAAATCAGATTGTGAAAACAAATTCAGTTTACTGAACAAACAGGAATAACCTTAAAACATTTTAACCCTTTTCACCACTGTAGACCATAATATTAATGGACTCATCCAGATCAATGCATGGTAGAGTCTACTAAAGTTACATAGGGGTACAAGGGTTAAATTAAGAAAAATTCTGCATTAAGGAAGTTCCACTAGTCATTCTCAAAATATGATAATGAAGTAAATGGAATAAAGTTTGATATATGCTTGTGAAGGTGTAAAGCAGAAGAAGACACAGCATTCCAATGCCTCAAAAATAATTGTAAAATCCAATTTTCCAACACCTTAAATCTATCATTGCTTTGTTCTTATGATGAACGAATGACGCGCAAAAGTAAAGATAGTGAAGCCTAACTCTGCTTTTGACGCTGGCCCATTTTGTAAACAATGATTCATGTCACAAAATATGAGAAACATGTAATGTAAACAATCTTTGTTTACTTCAAAAATACTTAAGTAAATAAAAAATATATTTGTTATGATAGCAGTTGTCTACAGGAATTACCAGAAATGCCCACATGAGATTCAATCCTTTGATAAAGCTACATCATCATCAGGATCAACATGCATTAAGTTAACATGTTGTTATACATTAATTTTGTCCAGATTTACTTTTATTTAGTAAAAGAAATATGTTAGATAATTACAATCCACGTTTCCTAACTTCAATGTTCAAATTGCTATCATTATTCCATGCATACAGACAAATCTATTGTGTTCGTGTGACTAGCTTATTTTACGTTTTCGATTTTAGTCAAGAGAAATTATACCCAAGCGAATTTAAAATTAGCTGATATAAAAAATAATCAGTAAAATTCGTACCAGCAAAACATGAAAATAAATTGATGAAATAGTATTAAGTTATACACGAGAAAAACACGAAAATCAGCTAATGGAAAAATAGTCAGGGAAATTATATATCAGCAAAACATAAAAATTGATGAAAATTGATGTAAAACTGTAGTATTTAGCTATACACCAGAAAACCCCCCAGGATAATTAACTGATTTAAAGGTAATCGTTACACCTTATTCCGTCTTTGCGTATTGCAGAGTTATCTTTTCTTGGGAGCAGGTATTGATTGTTACGTCACTTGTTTGTGAGAGTACGTCATCAATTTTTGAGAAAACGACGTAAATTTCTCGCACAAATCAATGACGTAACAGTCAATACCTGTTCCCAAGAGAAGATAACTCTGCAATACGCAAAGACGGAATATGTAAACTTGAAATACATTGGTCTATAAAATTAGATAAGTCCATAACGTACCAAAAACAGTATTTTAAGTTAATGAGAACCACACACCATCAGGATCAGATCACTGGGCCAAAACTATTCATACATAAATACATAAATATATGTAGCCTGATTAGCTTCATCTGTTAACTCATTCACCCCTGAAATTTCATAATGGACTATTCCAAGCTTTGAATTGGAAGAGTTAAAATGTGCCGTCTTAGGGACGAATAAAATGTTCAAAGGCAACTTTTTATATATTAGAAATATTTTCCAAATAATATTTGAGTGTGTTTTTTGTTTTCTTCCATATTTAGCTTCAAGCTCATCATCTTGCATCATCTACGCGTGATATTAGTTATGAATTTCAAATTCTTTTTGTAAATATGATAGACTGATGTTGTATATGTGTCGGTACAAAATGAAGCTAATATAATCAGGCTTTTGAACAACTGTGATCTCGTAGCAGGTAAGACAAAACAAAATATACCTTTCACATAATAAGTTAGGATGCTATGGGAATAAACAGTCGATCACACTTGCTTATCAAATGACCAAGGACATGTTTCATGTTAATATTGCATGCAAATAGTCTAGTTGTGGTTGCACAAAAACAATGACCAGCATGTTTTGATAAAATTTCTGGAAAAAACATGAATGTTTCAAACCATGAGATAGATAAGACTTTATGACATAAATGAAAGTATCTGTTAATTGTAAAGTTAAAAAAAGATGTAAAAATGACAAAAGTGACTCAAACAACATACAGAAATGTACGCTGTATTACAATCCACTGAATTATTTTCGACACACGTGACTTAAATTTGAAATGGTCCTTTCTAAATACTTTGTACTGAGAATCTGACAAAAAGCTAACTCAATTTAACAATAATACTAAGGTCATACATAAAACAATGTTATGGGTGATTTTTAAATAACAAATTGCAGCTCAATTAATCTCTTCAAATTACACATGACATGGCAAGCTCATAACTTATGATCAACACAGCTAACACATTACGGTGACACATACCAATTTATAGGAGCATGAATGACATTTACATGGGTTTACATTTCGGTCCAGGTGTCCAATATTTGATTAACTTATCCCTTTCATCAACCGATACTGGACATTTCCCAACATTTCTCAAAAATCATGTTTTGAAAATTTGTGTTAATGGTTCGGCTCGTAAAGATTATCAGAACTTGAACCACTGGGCACAAATAAGGTTATATCATCTAATGATGAGGTGACAAAACATAGCTAAATCATTAAAGCATTATCCTAAATTAAATTTCCCAACTAAAATTGTATTGTAATATTTATCACAAGTATGTATTATTTCTCATCAGAGTGAAGTGAAAGATGTGGTTGTTTTTATCTGATATGTTGTTTTTACAAAATATCGGCTCTGTTCCAGAATGTTTTAGATGAGGTGTACGGGTAAAGACTGCTATTTTTAATGTTTGTTAAAATGCCGTTGAACATTTTACATTTTGCTGTGCACTATGCATTATGTAATCTGCGTATTGGGAAAAACAGAGATAAAAAAAAAAGAAGAGACAAATAATATTTTCATGGAACGTGGAAGGACAGCGTCGCTAATAATACAATAATGATATCTCCATTCTGTTATAGGAATCATAGAAACTGGGACTATCAAAATCATGGTACAAAGAAAACATTATTGAAGTTAATAAAAATGATATTATTGTAGTTTTAAGTAAATTATTTTAATGTCATTATACATGTAATGTAGATACATATGAAATCTGATATATATCTGATCGTTACTTCGTTTGGAAATTTCATACACAGAAAAAGGGCACATTAAAAATTCCCAAAAAATAATTGCAAGACACGAAAACCTTAAGTTATGGCTACCTCGATATGACTTAACCAAAATTGTCCAAAAACTCCCCACTTCTATCTACTGTAAATGAAGGAAGTTAGAAACATTTCATATTTTAAACAGTCCGAAATAAATGACATTAGCTTTTCCATTCTCTAGTAACTGTTCTAGACCCCACATGAGCAAGATATCGACTCTATGCATAGGTAATCCATATGGTACTACAATATTCATTTTTGGCATATATTCTAAACGATGAAACCAAATATTGGATTACCAGGGCTCAACAATTTAACTTCAACAGCTCTCAGTTACGAGCTTTATTCCACTTTAGACATATATACTTTGTATTGGCAAAGTGGAGGAAATTAACTGGCAATTCAATGAAGTAATCCATTTTTAAAATAGATTCTTCGTTCGGTATTTAGCTGAATCCTCTCTAGGATGAAAGAAAAGACATTCTTTATATCTGTTCAGACAAGCTCAGGATTCACACAGAAAATGACAAAACATTCACAGTACACTGCCCCAAGAAATAGAAAAAGAACTATCAATTATTATTTGTTTGTCAAGATTTTGATTCACTCCATACACATATTGTATGCAACAGGAGGTCAATCTTCAGTTTGTCAGGATATTTGACTGTTTAGCTAAATACAAGTTATACAAATATACTGGAAGAAATAAATAGCTATAGACAACAAACTTTTATTAATACACACTTACTTAGTCTACTTCAATTTTTTTTTTTTAGTTTTGTAGAAATAGTCATTTTCTATCACATTGGAAACCCTGAAGGTCATTTGTATTTGTATAAAAAATCACAAATGAAATCTTAGAATAAAAATATTTAAGTTATACCAATTATTCATCTATAAATCAAACTCTTAACCACAAATTGAATATTTTCATTCAAATTTAAATTTACACAGATTTTTTTTTTATTGCACTGTACACTCCAATACATTTTCTAGTATTTCTACATTAACAGATTACTTATTGTTCAGTTTATATCAAACAGAATTTCTCCAAACATTATGATTTTCCCTTATAAATCTTGATTGTGTGTCAGTTAAATAAGTTCAATTGTGATGTTCCAGCATGTTAATGTTTCTGTCTGACACATACAATATGGTGGAACGTTTAACTAAGGACTCCGCTGTAAAGCTGGTATATTTTTTAAGGCCTAGAAGATATATACATTTTATGTCAGGAATTCATTGTGTATGTTTTGTTTTTGTTTTTTACTTTTGCCTAATTTACCTTGTACAATTTTAATGATTCATACAATTTTGTTTCACAGAAGTTGTGAATCCCCTGGGCATTCATCAAATATCCAATCAGAAAAGGAAATTATATCTCGGGATTGTTTTTTTGTGAGATATCAATTTTTGTCGTTGTTAAACAAATGTTTATGATGTAATCCTTAACATAATTTTAGTATGCATATTTAATACTTTGTATCCCAAAACAAAAGATTTCTTTGATGAGAATCATCTTGCCCCAACATATATATCATGATAGGACATGGTTATCCACCGATTCAAAACAATGGCGACACTGCAGGGCTACAGAGGAAGGAAAAAGGAGGTTCGAGTCCATAATGTTATGTTAAATACCATATCATGAAAATATGTTTTACAATATGAAAACCTCAATTTCATTTTAATGATATTTACCACAACTTTATTAAGAGAATGTACTGCAGTGGATACTCTGAAATCCCAGCAAGACGGGCAAACTCTTAGTTTACTCCTCCAAGATAGTCGCAGGAGAAACACAAAGGTTAAGGAACCCCCAGATGCCCCAAATAAAACAAAAAGAGATGGGAAAGACTCCTCATGGTTAAAGAGGTTTTGTTCCACCGACAAGTCTGCTGGCATGGCTGCTTCAACCACAGGACCAAATGTCCTCAGAATGTAACTACTACAGAGAGAAATCAATTTAAGGATCCCCGTACCACTGTCAAAAACTGTAGGATAGGACACTGTTTTTTCTGGCATGACATTAGCTTTGAAAAATCATTTTTGAAAAGACAACCATACCTTGCGAGACTTTTAAGAGACATAATAAAGATATATAAAACAAAATATAATCAACAGCATTGTTCCGAGTGTCAAATATTGAGTGGGGCTAGATCGGGATTCGTACTCTGAACATCAGATTGTTATACTTTCGCTCTAATTGATTGAGTTACCTGGACACCTGAAGTGCCCTGGCCAAACTGTGCTACAGTTATATCTATATCCAATTAAAGCTGAAGTTAAGGGGAGGTTACTGTATATAGGAGAAACCACAGCGCAATGGAACAGGGATCCTAAAGAATGATCGTACCTTGTGTAATGCCCAAAACCCATCCTCAGTCTGATTGCTTCACAGATCCACCAGCAGACAGAATAAGAGAAGGTATCTCACTGACCTTGCAAATGTGCCGTCAAGGGAAGTAACCGCGAGTGAAATCTTTATGTTGGGATACTAATGATAGGTACTTGTATTGATTATGCATACTTAAGTTATGGTAATCATTACTGAAATTAAACAAGTCATTTAAGTACAGTAACACATGCATGATATAGATTTGTGTTTTAATTTTTGTAAGGAAAAGGTGAGACTTAAGCTTGAGTAAGAAGAGGTGTTTCTGAGAGTGAATAGTGTTCTACTGTATTTGTATATTAAACCTGTATTACGTTTGTATTGTGTAGCACATTTATCACATTGAAAGACACACATCTAAAACTAATCGGATATAACTCGCTCCGCCTTTCTATCACCTTATATCACGGGACATGCAATGCATGTGGAAATTAAAATATTCATGAGATACAGTTCAACAACAAAGCAATTCAATAACTATTCAATAACCTTGCTTGGCAAGGGACATAACTCTCATTTTAAAACGAAAATCATCTGTTACAATTCCTGGATGGAACAGTATTTTGTTCTCAAGTGCTAGTTTTTGTAGTCAGCTATTTAACTAGATTCGTTTGACCAGTGTGGTTGACCTCTAGATCACTTGTCTAGGGTCTCGACTGACTGACCACTCTGTAATGCCTTACTTCACAACCTCATGACACGAGCATGACTAAATCTGGAGATGTTCTCACAGCACAACCATCCAGTCCTCCAATCTATGTGCTAGGGAGCTTTATAAACTTACCATATTCACACTTAAGTTTTCCAAATGTCTGATTTCAAATCAATCGTATCCAAGCCAGGATATCACTTTTACAAATTATTCAATCCATCTTTAACGTCTTTACGTAAAATTCTACCGCAGAATTCTGTGTAAAATTCCAGATGGAAACACTTTTAAAAATGTCACATTATGTTAACTCCATTACACAAGCTACTTACTGCTGAAGAACGCACACAAATGTTTTGAAATCTAGATCGCATTCCAGATCTTCTCTTGGCAAGAATACATCACATCAAATGCAAGCATCAATATTTTCCAGAAAAGTATGGAGCAACGTTCATTGCGAGCACTGACAATATCCCAGTATTGTGTCGAGAAGTGTCAAATATAATAGTCATTTCCACCGACAGTCGCCCAATCCCAAATACTGATCAGTTTCCAGTATATAGAAGGTCAGACTAACAACCAGAATACACGTGCTGTTATCGTCGCGGCAACAACTCCACGATATAATTCCAAATGTTATATATAGTCGTTGATATCATTCCCCAATTCTGGCCCACTAACACCAACGCAAATATCAAAACAACGGTGCTGAGAATCCTCGCTCTGCAAATAAAAAATGTAATTATGAAACATGTCAAAGTATCGATCGCCGACTTTCAACATTATGACAAAACATCCTGGTTATATTTGTGTAATTTGACAGTTAACATTGCTATTATTATCCCTGTGACCCGGGACTTCGGTGGTTATATGTGTATAATTTGACAGTTAACATTGCTATTGTTATCCCCGTGACCTGGGACTTCGGTGGTTATATTTGTGTGATTTGACAGTTAACATTGCTATTGTTATCCCTGCCACCCGGGACTTCGGTGGTTATATTTGTGTAATTCGACAGTTAACATTGCTATTGTTATCCCTGTGACCTGGGACTTCGGGGGTTATATTTGTGTAATTTGACAGTTAACATTGCTGTTGTTAACCCTGTGACCCGGGACTTCGGTGGTTGTATTTGTGTAATTTGACAGTTAACATTGCTATTGTTATCCCCGTGACCTGGGACTTCGGTGGTTATATTTGTGTAATTTGAAAGTTAACATTGCTGTTGTTATCCCTGTGACCCGGGCCTTCGGTGGTTATATTTGTGTAATTTGACAGTTAACATTGCTGTTGTTATACCTGTGACCCGGGACTACGGTGGTTGTATTTGTGTAATTTGACAGTTAACATTGCTATTATTATCCCTGTGACCCGGGACTTCGGTGGTTATATGTGTATAATTTGACAGTTAACATTGCTATTGTTATCCCCGTGACCTGGGACTTCGGTGGTTATATTTGTGTAATTTGACAGTTAACATTGCTATTATTATCCCTGTGACCCGGGACTTCGGTGGTTATATGTGTATAATTTGACAGTTAACATTGCTATTGTTATCCCCGTGACCTGGGACTTCGGTGGTTATATTTGTGTGATTTGACAGTTAACATTGCTATTGTTATCCCTGTGTCCCGGGACTTCGGTGGTTATATATGTGTAATTTGACAGTTAACATAGCTATTGTTATCCCTGTGACCTGGGACTTCGGTTGTTATATTTGTGTAATTTGACAGTTAACATTGCTATTATTATCCCTGTGACCCGGGACTTCGGTGGTTATATTTGTGTAATTTGACAGTTAACATTGCTATTGTTATCCCTGTGACCTGGGACTTCGGGAAATTAGTCTAAGACATGATTGACACATTTGTCTTCTCAGTGTCTTTTTATTTTTCTCCCTGAAGTCGAGACTCCCGTTCTAAACTACAAAACAGACTGCTGTAGATGTATATAATAAAGTTTTAACGCAGGACTGTCCAGGATTTCCAGAATGTGTCATTATTTATTTCAACCTTCCTGACCAGTCATAAAATTATGTATATATCACTGTATAACTGACATATACATATTTCAATTTCATCACAACTTCGACAATTAAGTACTTTGTTGATTCTATTTAACATCTCCAGACTTAACAGTTTTCAAAATAGGAATTTTCGCCCAGTCAAATATTCGCCAATTACTGACAAAATCCTATTTGCCTAGTGATAATTTTGCCATTCACAGGTATTTACTACACGTATATGTTTATGTCCCATACTAATATTCGTTGTCAAAATAAAATTGCCCTCATTAGGAAAGGCAAAAAAGGCGAAAATCAAAACTACAGCAAAAATATCTCAGTATACAGCACTACTTCTATTTCAAGTTATATTTACTTCTATTTCAAGTTATATTCACTTTCGCATAATTTGCTAATAAGTATGGAATAAGAATTCTAGCATGAGACAAACAACTATTTATGCATAACCACATATATCTAGTAACCTCATGTGATGACATGATATGCTTTAAAGTCAGTACACATAGGGAGAAAGTGCGTGAAACGTGACTAAAACTGCTTTGCTCAATCTATCTTTCCCTTTTTATGTATCAAAATAACTCCGAAGAGCATTTATTTGATTCATACACACCTGCTATGATCAGTACACCACACACTGCAGTAGCTAGGAGATCATATCATTTGACCACACGGAATTAGATTTTGAGTTTGTGTGAGTTTGGACTTGCTTGAAGGAGCTTCAAGGTAGATTGTTAAATTTTGGTCATAATGAGGGAGTCTGCCTCCTAATGAGGGAGGTTTGACAGCCATAAATACAATAAGGCCAGGTTTTTTAACAGTCTGTATATGTTAAAAACCTAACCGTGAGGTGGGTTTGATTCGGCCGACACATGCAACATGTCTTACCTGGTTGTGAGGAAGGGAGCCACCAGATGGGCTCCTGTAGATACGAAGACAAGTACCACGGCCAGAAGAGCTAACAAAACATTGATCAACTTGGTAAGTAAAGTTCGAAATGTCACATTATCAACCATCTCCATGGAAATCAACTGCTGCTGTTGTTGCTGAAGTTCCATCTTCGATACCTGTGGAAACACAGTATACGTTACATTGCCTCATTTCAAGACCAATGAATTATCAATGAAACACAAGGTGTGTAAATGAAAAATTCTCTGACTTTCAAAATGAAAATGCTATTAAAATCAACAATAAAGAACAGATTTTTCAAATATTCTTTCCGGTAAATTATTTATCTAAGGAATTCAATGATTTTACAATAATTAATGCCTATTAGGAACTCACTCTAGTTTGACAGTTTTCTAAGGACTCGTGAAGGTCACCCGTCCGCTCGTCTAGTCGGTACTCAATCTTCTCTTCCATGCTGCTGATATCTTGCCGTAGATTTGTAACCTCGTTCTGATGAAGTTCTGTCATATCATTCATCTGTTCCTCAAGTCGTTCAGAGCGATACCGCTCCTCCTCGAGGTATGTCTTAACCATAGTGAGATCAGACTGGGTATCAACCTGCAAAAACAAAACAATTCCGTATTTTCCCGTTTTTGTTACAGTATAAAGCAGTTATAACACCTTTGAGGGAAAATTTTACATTATGATGTCATACTCCTCTGGTAAGAATTTCTCCTTGAAGGATTCCTGTCCAACTGCAGGTAAATGACTTGAGACTTCATTGTTGTTTTATATATAGGTAGAGTAACCTCCCCTTAATTTCGTTTTAAATATGGATGCTTTTGCTAGCCAGGTAGCTCAGTTGGTTAGAGTATAAGTAAAATAATCAGAGGTGCAGGGTTCGAATCCTGGTCTGGGCAAGCTGAATTTTTACACTTAAAACACTAGTACTGTTGCTGACTATATTTTGTTTATTTTGTCTATTTATCAAAGCTATAGGCTAACAAACAGTTTCCAATGCACAGTTGCTGTATTTGTAAGTGGCACCAGTATCCTTAGCAGTCTCAACTTTTCCAGTAGCCTTGAAAATTACCACGTAGCTTTCAAACTAATTCAGTATTCATTTAATTTATCCCGTCAACTTCAAATTTACCATGTATCCTACTTCTTAGTTTTTAAATTTACTCTGTAATCTTCAAACTTACACAATAGCCCTCAAACATTATTTATAGCCTTCAAATATACAAATGAGGCTGTCAACCTTCTTTTAGCCTTCAAACTTACAGAGTAACCTTCAAATATTACATTTCCCCTTTAAACTTATAAAGTAACCTTCAAACATTCTCTCTCTTTAGCCTTCAAATTTACACAGTAGCCTTGAAATATTCTCTTTATAGCCTTCAAACTTACAAAGTAACCTTCAAACGTTCTCTCCCTTTAGCCTATAAATTTACACAGCAGCCTTAAAATATTCTCTTAAGCCTTCAAACTTACACAGTGGCCTTCAAACATTCTCTTTAGCCTTCAAACTTACACATTGGCCTTCAAACATTCTCTTTAGCCTTCAAACTTACACAGTGGCCTTCAAACATTCTTTTTAGCCTTCAAACTTACCCAGTGGGCTTCAAACATTCTCTTTAGCCTTCAAGCTTACACAGAGTAACTTTCAAACATTCTCTTTAGCCTTCAAACTCACACAATAGCCTTCAAATATTACATTTCGTCTTTAAACTTACAAAGTAGCCTTCAAACTGAGAGTAACCTTCGAAAAATATGTTTAACCTTTGAACTTTGAGCAGCCTTCAAACGTTATATATAGCCTTCAAACTTATAGCGTAGCCTTCAACTTTACACAAAGCAACTTTCAAACATTCTCTTTAGCCTTTAAATATTAATTCCCTTTAGCCTTAAAACTTACACAGTAACCTTCAAATATTACATTTAACCTTCAAATGTTTAATCTCTCTTTCATCAAACTCACAATCTTGTCTTCAAAATTATTCTGTAACTAATGAACAAACTCGGTTTAAACATAGCCTGCCACTACCAAACCTTCTCTACAACCCTAATCACTCACCCTCTAACTACCAACCCTTCTCTACAACCCTAATCACTCACCCTGCAACTACCAAACCTTCCCTACAACCCTTATCACTCAGCCTGTAACTACCAAACCTTCTCTACCACCCTAATCACTCAGCCTGCAACTACCAAACCTTCTCTACCACCCTAATCACTCAGCCTGCAACTACCAAACCTTCTCTACCACCCTAATCACTCAGCCTGTAACTAGCAAACCTTCTCTAACACCCTAATCACTCAGCCTGTAACTACCAAACCTTCTCGACAACCCTAATCACTTACCCTGCAACTACCAAACCTTCTCTACAACCCTAATCATTCAGGCTGGAACTACCAAACCTTCTCTACAACCCTAATCCCTCACCCTATAACTACCAAACCTTCTCTACAACCCTAATCACCCAGCCTGCAACTACCAAACCTTCCCTACAACACTAATCACGCAGCCTGTAACTACCAAACCTTCTCTACAACCCTAATCATTCAGGCTGGAACTACCAAACCTTCTCTACAACCCCAATCACTCAGCCTATAACTACCAAACCTTCTCTACAACCCTAATCACTAAGCCTGCAACTACCAAACCTTCTCTACAACCCTAATCACTCAACCTACAACTACCAAACCTTCTCTACAACCCTAATCACTTAACCTGCAACTACCAAACCTTCCCTACAACCCTTATCACTCAGCCTGTAACTACCAAACCTTCTCGACAACCCTAATCACTTACCCTGCAACTACCAAACCTTCTCTACAACCCTCATCACTCAGCCTGGAACTACCAAACCTTCTCTACAACCCTAATCCCTCACCCTATAACTACCAAACCTTCTCTACAACCCTAATCACCCAGCCTGCAACTACCAAACCTTCCCTACAACACTAATCACGCAGCCTGTAACTACCAAACCTTCTCTACAACCCTCATCACTCACCCTGTAACTACCAAACCTTCCCTACAACCCTAATCACTCAGCCTGCAACTACCGAACCTTCCCTACAACACTAATCACTCACCCTGTAACTACCAAACCTTCTCTTCAACCCTAATCACTCACCCTGTAACTACCAAACCTTCCCTACAACCCTAATCACTCAGCCTACAACTACCAAACCTTCTCTACAACCCTAATCACTTACCCTGCAACTACCAAACCTTCCCTACAACCCTAATCACTCAGCCTGCAACTACCAAACCTTCCCTACAACACTAATCACTCACCCTGTAACTACCAAACCTTCTCTAACACCCTAATCACTCACCCTGTAGACTTTGAAGTCCTTGATGAGACAATGCAGGGTTTCATGTAGCAGTGCATTGCTGTCGTGTAGTCCCTTTAGTTCTGTGACAAAAGGGTCCAAACTAGCCTGTGTGAGGATTGGGAGTTGTTGTGATGTATTCTGGGATACAGACGGAGGACTGCTGTGGGCTCCGAACCCAGACCCAGATGTAATACTGCTGTTATCGTCATCAGACCCATACTTAAAACTGTAACAAAATAAAGTGTCATTAAAATTCTGGAAATTATGATACAGAACATGAAATTCTTTTCTTTTTCTCTCTCTTTCTATTCATAACGCACCTGAAATGAAACTACAAATACTGTATTAATGTCTTTTTTGTTTACTATTTCTTTCCTCACACAAAAACTGTAAGGCGTTGTCACCTTGGTCCAGCAGATTGCGACTTCATAGATTTAAAAATATTCCCCAAAAATAATCATAATTGATCAATATTTTTGGTATTTAATTTTGATGCTGAAATAAATTCACCCACAAATGTTTATGACAAGTGTTTTTTAACACAGGATTACTGAAGAGTTAAACTGGACAGCAATGTGGATATGAAGATGAGATGGAATTAAATAGCTCTTGAAATAAAGATTGGGATTCTTTTTTTTATATTTACTTTGTATAATATCCACGTATATACCATAGATAGCCTGGACTCAACAAACTTGATAGTACCGATATAGCACTTATACATGTATCCCGACACAAACCGGACATATTCTGTACCTAAGTCGTGTACATGTATAGTTCAATATAATTCAGGTTGTCATCAAGAACAAAGCAGGTAAAACCTATAATTGGTGTATAGCAATAAGCAGGTGATGAGGTAAATTATTGTGCTGTGTCACAACATGTTTAACACTATACTAGACAGTAGCCTGGTCTACATTACAACATAGTGACGGTAACAAGCATCTGTACAGACACTGACAGTCAAACCTACTCCCTTACCTTTATACACTGACAGTCAAACCTACTACCTTACCTTTATACACTGACAGTCAAACCTACTCCCTTACCTTTATACACTGACAGTCAAACCTACTCCCTTACCTTTATACACTGACAGTCAAACCTACTCCCTTACCTTTATACACTGACAGTCAAACCTACTCCCTTACCTTTATACACTGACAGTCAAACCTACTCCCTTACCTTTATACACTGACAGTCAAACCTACTCCCTTACCTTTATACACTGACAGTCAAACCTACTCCCTTACCTTTATACACTGACAGTCAAACCTACTCCCTTACCTTTATACACTGACAGTCAAACCTACTCCCTTACCTTTATACACTGACAGTCAAACCTACTCCCTTACCTTTATACACTGACAGTCAAACCTACTCCCTTACCTTTATACACTGACAGTCAAACCTACTCCCTTACCTTTATACACTGACAGTCAAACCTACTCCCTTACCTTTATACACTGACAGTCAAACCTACTCCCTTACCTTTATACACTGACAGTCAAACCTACTCCCTTACCTTTATACACTGACAGTCAAACCTACTCCCTTACCTTTATACACTGACAGTCAAACCTACTCCCTTACCTTTATACACTGACAGTCAAACCTACTCCCTTACCTTTATACACTGACAGTCAAACCTACTCCCTTACCTTTATACACTGACAGTCAAACCTACTCCCTTACCTTTATACACTGACAGTCAAACCTACTCCCTTACCTTTATACACTGACAGTCAAACCTACTCCCTTACCTTTATACACTGACAGTCAAACCTACTCCCTTACCTTTATACACTGACAGTCAAACCTACTCCCTTACCTTTATACACTGACAGTCAAACCTACTCCCTTACCTTTATACACTGACAGTCAAACCTACTCCCTTACCTTTATACACTGACAGTCAAACCTACTCCCTTACCTTTATACACTGACAGTCAAACCTACTCCCTTACCTTTATACACTGACAGTCAAACCTACTCCCTTACCTTTATACACTGACAGTCAAACCTACTCCCTTACCTTTATACACTGACAGTCAAACCTACTCCCTTACCTTTATACACTGACAGTCAAACCTACTCCCTTACCTTTATACACTGACAGTCAAACCTACTCCCTTACCTTTATACACTGACAGTCAAACCTACTCCCTTACCTTTATACACTGACAGTCAAACCTACTCCCTTACCTTTATACACTGACAGTCAAACCTACTCCCTTACCTTTATACACTGACAGTCAAACCTACTCCCTTACCTTTATACACTGACAGTCAAACCTACTCCCTTACCTTTATACACTGACAGTCAAACCTACTCCCTTACCTTTATACACTGACAGTCAAACCTACTCCCTTACCTTTATACACTGACAGTCAAACCTACTCCCTTACCTTTATACACTGACAGTCAAACCTACTCCCTTACCTTTATACACTGACAGTCAAACCTACTCCCTTACCTTTATACACTGACAGTCAAACCTACTCCCTTACCTTTATACACTGACAGTCAAACCTACTCCCTTACCTTTATACACTGACAGTCAAACCTACTCCCTTACCTTTATACACTGACAGTCAAACCTACTCCCTTACCTTTATACACTGACAGTCAAACCTACTCCCTTACCTTTATACACTGACAGTCAAACCTACTCCCTTACCTTTATACACTGACAGTCAAACCTACTCCCTTACCTTTATACACTGACAGTCAAACCTACTCCCTTACCTTTATACACTGACAGTCAAACCTACTCCCTTACCTTTATACACTGACAGTCAAACCTACTCCCTTACCTTTATACACTGACAGTCAAACCTACTCCCTTACCTTTATACACTGACAGTCAAACCTACTCCCTTACCTTTATACACTGACAGTCAAACCTACTCCCTTACCTGTATACACTGACAGTCAAACCTACTCCCTTACCTTTATACACTGACAACAAACCTACTCCTTTACCTTTATACACTGACAGTCAAACTAACTCCCTTACCATTATACACTGACAGTCAAACCTACTCCCTTACCTTTATACACTGACAGTCAAACTAACTCCCTTACCTTTATACACTGACAGTCAAACCTACTCCCTTACCTTTATACACTGACGGTCAAAACCTACTCCCTTACCTTTATATACTGACAGTCAAAACCTACTCCCTTACCTTTATACACTGACAGTCAAAACCTACTCCCTTACCTTTATATACTGACAGTCAAAACCTACTCCCTTACCTTAATACACTGACAGTCAAAACCTACTCCTTAACCTCCTATTAAACCCAGACGATGGGAAAATATTTTCTAACATGCATGTATATAAGTATCTAATTATGTTTAGGTCAGGTCATCCTCGATATCCAGGGGTAACGCTCACTTTTGCTCTCTGCACCCCTGGAACATGTCATAACAAAATTGAAAGCACAAAGATAGCTGTTTGATTGGTCTCAGGTAAAAACAAGGTTACCGCGAGCGGTACATAATACGCCCGTCACACATTGAATGAGCAGTTGTTTGTATGATTGAAATATATGAAGTATTTGTGAGTAATTGATATTAAAAGAGAAATCATTCAACAAAACTGGTAGATCAATGAGTGCAATACAACATCATGGAACGCATGCATCGCATTAATGAAACCAAGGGAAATAACTCCACAAATTATGGTCGGATAATGGCGGTTATCGA